CTGTTTGTACTGCAGCTGACTTTGAATTCTATACAAAGTTTTATCATATAGGGTATTTTATATTATTTATTTTAAGAGCACAAAGTACATCAATACGAAGATAGCAGTTCTCATATTAAATGGTCAAGTTATTATCAGGAAAGGAGTCGAAGAAAGAAATAATAGGTCCCTATGTGATCCACACCTAGTGGTTTTCAGCCTGTAAAAACCAATTCTATGCTTCCTTTTCATTTAATTATCCTGTATTGACATGTCCTGTTAATCTTTTTCCATCTATGATCTGTATTATAGGAAAACTGAGTTTAATGAAAGATTTGGTTTCATTAGAGCCCTAAAGCCAGGAAATCACAATCTAATTTTTACAAGAGAAGTGACCATTCCCGGCATTGCTTGTGATAATTGGGTATAACTTGACAAACACGAGCCGAGTTGGATGGCAGATAAAGTTTGGCCTCTGTTGGTGTCTTCTTATAGAGGGTTATTCTTTCCCTACAAGTAAGAAAGGTTCTTTCAATGCATGTGTCAAAATAAAAGAAAATACCAGCAGGTTGGTGAGCGGTAAGAGGATGGGCAAAGCTGTCTTTACCCTTTAAAATGACTGAAAGACCTACCTCTTTAGTTTAAATTCTGACTAGTCAAGCATCGTATATTTAAAATAGTGAATAGCAAATAAAAGAGTGGGTTATGTGCTTTTAAAATACTCAACTTAAAGTGTTACTAAACTCAGGACCCTGTGTCTGGTCTTGCACAGTACACACAACATGGAAATGCAATTATTATAGTAAATATAAACTGTTAAATACCTTTTCTCATCAGCAGTATAGAGCAGTCTTGTGACTTCTATCAGTGTCCAGCAGAGCACTGGTTATAGCTTGTAGGTGGAGTCTTCTTTCTGCTCTAGGAGGATAGAAATCCCCTGACCTCAGTCTGGACAGTGCTGATTGGCCCTGTGCTGTTCACATACAATCTCCCAAGGAAAAAAAAACCTCTCTAGCAATATACACCAAACTGAGCATGTGCATGCCTACTATTCAGTCTGGAGATATGTTGTGGTCGCTTGAAAAAGGGGAGGAACAGAGAAGAAAGGATCAAACAGCCTTTTTACACAATGCAGAGGATTAACCCCTTAGCTTTCACATTGAGTATAACAAGCATGCTTTACTGCATATACAGACTGATTTTACTGTTGTGGGTTTAGTAACACTTTAATCTCAGTAAGGACGTCACAGGACATTAAAGCAGATGTGTTACTTACATTTAAATGCCAACTCCAGACATTTTCTTAGTTTTGAATAGGGTTGAGATTTTTTTTTATTGCTGTCTATATACCCTAGATGGGCAGTTTTTCTTCATTGCCAGTCTATCTAACGAGTGTCAGAACAGGAAATGATGGGAACTATCCCCAGTGGGGTCACAAACATTAACCATTTGCCGCCTGGCCTATGGTCAAATGGTGGCCGGGCGAACACTTCATCCCTCGGGAGGGCGCCATATGGCGTCTTTCCCAGATCACTCTTTGCGCATGCCCGCAGGGCTGCGCTGTGGTGAGATCTATCACCAGCCGTGTACCTTGGACATGGCGGATGACAGATCTGTGTACCGGCCCTGTTGCCAGTACCATGTGACCTGTTGTGACCAATCACAGCAGGTCACATGACAGTTGTATACAATGGATAGCTTCCTTTCATGCCATTCATTGTATACAAGTGTGTCTAGCTGTGAATGGTCACAGCAATCACATGCACAGGCTGGGCCAATCACAGCCCATCTGTGTCATGTGATTAGCTGTGGCCAATCACAGCTAATCACAAAAAAAAACCTGAACGAATCGATTTCATTCAGTTAAATACTTGCTTATAGCAAAGAAATTCTTTGCTATAATCAATAAATTGTGTAAAAAAAAAAAAAAATACTGATAACTTCCCCAAAGTAGTACAATGTTACTATGGTAACATTATACTACCTTGGTCATAGTGCAATATGAAAAAAAAAAACTTAAAAACGAGAAACAATTAAATAAAAAAGAAAAAAAAAAATGTTAACAAAATTATCTTTTTTTTTTTTCGTACTGTCACCAGTCAGTGTCCCTGATCACCGCCACACCAGTTATATGCTGACGCTGTACTGCACTGGTGACAGTATGTAAAAAAAAAAATTGTGACTTTTTTTTTTCATTTTCCGAAAAATTATGACAAAACAATTATGACTTCAAAAAACTCGCTATGCCTCTAATGAAATACGTCAGACTGTCTACTTTGCAAAAAGGGGTCATTTGGGGGATATCTATACTGTTCTGACATTTTTGGGGCTCAAGAAATGGCTGTCAGTACTTCAGGATTGGTCAATTTTCAGATATATCCCATAGTTTGTGAACTCTATAACGTTCCTACAGACTAAATAATAAATACTGATTTGCATTATTTTCACCAAAGAAATGTAGCAGAATACATCTTGGCTTAAATTTATGAAGAATAATTATTTATTTGCAAACTTTTATAACAGAAACAAAGAAAAAAAAATTTTTTTTTCAACATTTTGGTCTTTTTTTGTTAATTTAGCAAAAAAAAATCCCCAGTGGTGATTAAATGCCACCAAAAGAAAGCTCTAGTTATGTGAACAAAATGATAAAATTTTAGTTTGGGTACAGTGTTGCATGACTGCGCAATTGTCATTCAAAGTATGAGAGCGCTGAAACCTGAAAATTGGCCTGGGCATGAAGGGGGTAAAAGTGTCCGGTATTGAAGCAGTTAATAAAAACATTTTTCTAGTATAGCAAAAAGGATTAACACTTGTGGTTTTTATTGTTGCCTGATTCTGAATTGGATAGACTTCTCTTACTTTGTTCCCTGGTTATGGGTATCAGCAAAAAAGTGGGGATAAAAAACCCCTCAAAGAGATGATTCACCATTCACACTCCATAAATGGATTCACCACACCATTAGTACAAGACAGAGGGGTTGATTTACTAAAGGCAAATAGGCTGCAAAATGCACTTGTAAGTGCACTGAAAGTGCAGTTGCTGTAGATCTGAGGGGAACATGCAAGGAAAAAAAAAAAAAACAGCATTTTTGCTTGCACATAATTGGATGAAAGAAATCAGCAGCCATTTCAGAGTTTACCCTTGGATATAAAGCAACTGCACTTGTGGTGCACTTACAGGTGTACTTGTGGTGTGCTTGCAGATGTACTTGCGTTGCGCTTGCAGGTGTACTTGCGGTGCGCTTGCAGGTGTACTTGCGTTGTGCTTGCAGGTGTACTTGCGGTGCGCTTGCAGGTGTACTTGCGTTGTGCTTGCAGGTGTACTTGCGTTGCACTTGTAGGTGTACTTGCGTTGCGCTTGCAGGTGTACTTGCGGTGCGCTTGCAGGTGTACTTGCGGTGCGATTGCAGTGTGTATTTACTTTAGTAAAGAAATCTCAGAGTGTGTAACCAGCAGAAGACCTAAGGGCTAGTTCACACTTGACTGTTTTTCCAACTCTTGCCAAATGCCCCTATAGAATTTGACAAGTGTTGGTGCGGCGTTTGCGGAGAATTTTTAATGCTCCTGCAAACGCCGCATGCGCGGTTTAGCGACAGTTGCTAGGCGTTTGCCAAGCGTTAATAACGCCCCACAAATACCTATAATGAAGTTTGAATGGTGTTGCCGCTCCGCAAATGCCTCGGAACCGTGTCGCAACCCCATCGCAAATGCTTGCGGAGCGGCACCATAGACTTGAATAGGGGGCTTCAACTTCTCCTGACTAGACCAGAGGCATCTGTTTTGCCACGGCGCTAACGCTCCCGTTTGAACAGCACCATGTGCTGCAATGTGCAGAATTTTCCCAGGCGTTTGGGAAACGGTAAAAACGCTTCCAAAGCGCCTGTCTGCCGCTTGCTAACAAGGCTAGTGTGAACATAGCCTAAAGGTCCGTGTTTCATGACCTGAAATTTTGCATAAAAAAGTTTGAAAATCTCTGGGAAGATTGGCTGAATGGCATTGTAGAATTTTTTTAGCTGATCTCTGTTCCACAAAGTATGCATTCCTTGCCCATACAAGTATACCTATGTACTTGACAGTATAATAACTGACTATTAGATCCTGCCCTGAGGAAGTGTTCCCTGAACAAGTAAAATGGTTACTGGCTTGGAATCGTTTATGTCTGTATCTTGGAATGTAACTTGGCAATAAATAAAATATAAAGTCTGAGCCTTCTGCCGAATATCCTTTGTTAGATAACATACACATGACCACCATCTTTTGCCCATAGTAACATAAGAATGTCGTATGATAATCAGAATCTTCTTTAAGCAACTAGAAATCTCCTGGCTTAACCAATAATGATGATTCATCCAGCCGTGCGAGCACTGAAGAGCTTAAGTGAGTTCTATTTTCGTCCCAGTCATTGCCTGTGGCTTCTGCTCTTTCAATTGCCAGGTTGCAGAGTGCATTTTCTTGTTGAGTGCTAATTCAGAGTAGTGCAGGCCAAGAAAGGTCAAGTGAGGTGCTCTGGTTAACAATGTAGATATACGGGCTGATATATCCTTTTATCACCTAATATGATTCAAAATACATATCTGTGGAATCAATGCTAATGTTACAGCATATCTATGGTCAGAAAATGAAAATCATTTATGTAATGAGTCATTGAATTTCCATCTGTTCTAGCCCTGCTGTTGTTAATAGAGTGTCCTGCAAGCAACTAAACATTCTTTCATAATAGTCCTCCAGGACTTCTTTGAGTGCAGTGACACAAAACCTCCATGCCCTGGGAATATGCACAGCCATTATCACCTATTGCAAAGAGTTTGCTGCTAAAACTACAATATTTTGCCTGGATGCTATATGCATCTGGGCATTTAGGTATCACATCCGATGCAAAACCCTGCCTGTAGGACAGATATGTCAGTCATTGCTAGACTTCTCTTCTCTTACTTTGAGTTTGAAAGGCCTTCAGAAAGCAGAGACATTCAAGAAATTGCCCCTTATGTAACATCAGCATTGCTTGCGGCCGAAATGCACGGTATCACTCAGAGGCAGGGGCGGACTGACCATTTGGAAACTCGGGCACAGCCCGAGGGCCCAGGGTCAGTAGGGGGCCCCATGAGATGCCCCTGGTACCTTTTTCATAGGCTTTTTTGAGTTTGGGCAAGGACACAGGGGCCCCATGATCCCCTATTGCCCGGGGGCCCCATGAGTTGTCAGTCCGCCCCTGCTCAGAGGGCATGCATGGATTACATGAAAGTTGTCACACATGTTGGGACAAGCTACAGAAAGTAGGAGAGCAACAGCCAGAAGAAAGTCAGCAATCAGATCATGAAGAGGGACTTTTCTAATGTTAAAGTTACCCAGCATTTGTATTGAAAGTGATGTTGCAAAGGAAAATTGTAGGGTGTTAATTTAAATCTCCATTAATACATTATATAAAAACCTTTACAGAGATTTAGACCTCAAAGCAGCATCTTGCAGTTCTGAAATAGTTTTTGCAAGCAATACCTTGATACTTATAAAGGCACTTACAAATATTTGTCCTTTTGGAGGATGGCTATTTGAAAATGCATAGATCTGATAGGCAGAGTCCACTATAAGAGAGCTACAATATTTCTAAGAGTTCAAAATGGGTCATTTCTTTTTATTTTTAAAGATTTTTTCAAGAGTTATAATCATAATTTCAGTTCCTTAGTTGATATGATATTAAAATGTCCATTTTGTAATAACGTAGTACATAGTTACTCTCGTTCCATACAGATTCACCAGATGTGCTCTACTCTACACTTTTTTCCTTAAAAAAAGACCAACCTCCAAGAAGCATATTACTGTTTTTCTAATCTGCTGTCCTGTAAATTACTGTCTTGTAAATACCTAGAACAGGGCCAAATTCAGTTCGCAGAAACAGCAAACCAAGGAGCTGCACTGAATAACTCTGCAACTTCCCTATCATTAACCACTTGCCCTCCTGAGGATTTACCCCCCTTAATGACCAGGCCTCTTTTTGCTACTCGGCGCTGCACTAATTCAACTGATAATTGCGCGGTCATCCAATGCTGCACCCAAACGAAATTTACATCCTTTTTTTTCACACAAATAGAGCTTTCTTTCGGTGGTATTTGATCACCTGTGCGCTTTTTATTTTTCACGCTATAAACAAAAAAAGACCAAAAATTTTGAAGAAAAACTATATTTTTTACTTTCAGCTATAAAAAATATATAGTAAATTCAAAGTTAGTCATAAATTTAGGCCAAAATGTATTCTGCTACATGTTTTTGGTAAAAAAAATCCCAATAAGTGTATATTCATTGCTTTGTGTGGACGTTATAGCGTCTACAAACTATGGTATAGATACTGCAATTTACGCCATTTGTTTCTATACAACGCTGCGCTAGTTTAACGGACAATTGCGCAATCATGCAATACGGTACATAAATGAAATTTACATCCTTTTTTTCCCACAAATTGAGCTTTCTTTTGGTGGTATTTGATCGCCTGTGCGTTTTTTTATTTTTTGCGCTATAAAAAAAAAAAGGCTGACAATTTTGAGGAAAAAAAACAATATTTTGGACTTTTTGCTATAAAACATGTCCAGTAGAAAAAAAAATTTAAAAATCAAATTTAGTCATAAATTTCTGCCAAAATGCATTCTGCGACATGTCTTTGCTAAAAAAAAAAACCCAATACGTGTAAATTAATTGGTTTACGTGAAAGTTATAGTGTTTACAAATGGCGGGAAAGATACTGGGATTTTTAATTTTTTTTTATACTAATAATGGCGGCGATCAGCGACTTATGGCGGCGATCAGTGACTTATGGCGGCGATCAGCGACTTATGGTGGGACTGCGGTGGACATTCTGACACTGTGGGGGGAACTGACTTGGGGTAAGTGACATTCTCAGTGACACCAATACAGTGATCAGTGCAAAAAAAACCCACTGACACTGTATTAATGGCACTGGGGAGGAAGGGGTTTACTTTATTATTCAGTGAAAGGGTTAACTGTGTGAGGGGAGTGTTTTACTAGGGGGCGGGGGTGTGTACTGCAGGGAACACCGCTGATCGGGAGAGATAAACTCTTCTCTCCAGATCAGTCTGTTAGAGCTGTCAGGAAACTGACAGAGAGCACAGCTACTGCAGCCCTGCTCTCTGTCAGTGATTGCTGCTAATCGCCGGGACACAGCCGGTAACGATCGGCTGTGACCCGGCGACTGACATCCGCAGCCATGATCGGCGGGACAGGTAGGGTGGTGGCGCGCCTCTCACGCGCCCCCTACGTTTTTTGAAAACACACGTTTTAAAACGTGGTTTTGCCCAGCTGTGCCGCCCTGCCACCGTATTTCTACAGTGGCTGGGCGGCATGTGGTTAAGTCTCTTAAAAATAGTCATGTAAAGTCTGCTACATAATGTTGGAAAAACATGTAAAATAGAGGTTGTCAAAGCTTTTTTTTTACCCTCATGCATTCTTTGCATGAAGGTAAAAACCTGTGTGTAGCAGTCCCCCCAACACTTATCTGAGTCCCATCGTCTCTCCCTCCTATTTGGCTGAGACAGCATTGGGAGCCACAAGCAGCAGAAAATACCCAACAAAGTTCAAATCTCTTCCCCATGCTATCCAAAACTAAATAAAAATAAATAACCTTGCTGGACTTTTTTTTTTAAAGTTGAATTCCAGGCAAAGACTAAACACATTTGAAATACATGTAAGGGAAATATTTTATCTGCCAAATTATTTTTATTTCTATCCATCCATTTCTGAGATTTACACAACTCTGTTACATAGCAACAATCCTGTCTGTCAGAGACCTTTTTTTATATATTACAATTATGTAACACAGGTATGATTCTTCCCCCAGGCTGTGATTGGTCAGTGAAGGGAAGCAGTAGATTGGTTAGCTCATCTCCCTGTCTTTCTGCTCTCTCCTCCAATTGGCATGCCCCTTGTTAGCATATAAGCACTACAGCAATGCTGACTGGCATTGCTGAAGAGGCTTATATCCCATACATATTTATGTACTTGTGAATGATGGAAACTGACTGCTGGAAAATGTAGGTTAAAAAACATCAGTTTAGCCGTGTTTGCATACTGCGTTTATGCGTGTTTATGTGCGTTTATGAGCATTTGCGTTTAGAAGTGTTTTTTAAAGATAACCTCAGGAAACCTTCCAAAATGCCCAGAAAGTACTGAAAAACAGTAAACAATGAACTATTTCAGACATTTTGAGATAAGTAGAGAGAGCAGAAGCAGAGAGAACAGTATTTGTTGAGATTAGCTGTCTTTTTTTTTTTTTGTGGTGTTTGGATGTGTTCCAGCTCATTTCTGTGCAGAAGTTATTGCAGCAGTGTCTAACATATTTTCTTTCATGTGAAACCTCAAAGTATGGTGGTCCATTTGAGGAAAATGCTTTGCATGCATTTTTCATGATGAAAAAAGGCTCTGGACAGCATCTAGAAATGGAAGAGTTAAAAACATGTTTCAAACGCAAATGCTTGTAAACGCGGTTAGCCATGTTTAGCCACGTTTACATGCGTCTACTTCTGAACGCCGTTCAAAAAAACGATTGTAAACTCAACTGCCAGTAAACGACTGTAAACGACGATGTGTATATGGACACATGGGACACCATTAGGGTGAGTTCAGGGGCTGCTGAAAAAAACGCAGAACAGCTCCTGAATGTCAGTTTATCAGCTGCAGTGTACATGAGCCCTTAATGTTTATTCATTTATGCAGAGCTGCATTAATAATAATAATAATAATAATATATTATACCTGGAGTTCAGATTTATATCTGGAGCCTGACATTCAGATTTAAAGCAGAACAATAGGCAAAACTTTTTTTTAACATTGTTGATAGAGCAAGGGAGGTTTACAACCCCTGTCAGACTTTTTTTTTTTGCCATCTGTGTCCCATTGCGAAGATTTACCTTCACTTACTATCCCACAGCCAAACAGGAAGTGAGAGGAAATCCCTGCAAATGAAGGGACTTCCTTGGGGACCCCCAAATCACCAGAATTAGTGTCCCCATTGGAAGATTTCCCTTCTATTACTTTTCTGGGGATATCCCAAAATTTGGAATTTTCTTTTACTTTCACTTTTAATGATAATGGTAAAGAGGACAAATTGAGAGGGTGAATCTCCTTAGTGGGGACACAGACACTGACAGGCGTTCTAATCCATCTCCACCCTATCCAAAACTAAAAAAAAAAGTTTTGCCTTTAGTTATACTTTAAATGTGGGTTCCACAGTATTACTTCTGATAGCCTGTAGTATGTTTAAGTACAGCTAAATGTTTTCTTTTTTGATTGACTACTGCTATGGCACTAAACTATCTTTTTATAAATCAGTATATTCGGATATACTGTATTTTGACTAGCTGATATTAATATACTGTGCAGTAAAATTTGGAAGGTGTGAAAACTTACAAGGAGTGTTAGTATTATCTGTAAAGTTTATTTTTCAAAAAGGTCTCATATATTCCAAATGAATCTAACTTGTGCTACTCTGTGCCTATTGCAGTGGTCTGTTGTCCTCTGATTACGTGGAGATTGAGTATGATGAAGGAAAGCCAAAACTCAACAAGGTAATTTTGCTTTGTTATGCTGCAAACATTTAGATCTTCCCTTCCATGATACTTTGCAGGCCATCATTGTGAAATATAAGCAAATACACTGTTGTCTTGGAAATTGCTTCTCTTTAGTGTTTTAATAATGATGAACAATTTATATTGGCAGATAGACAGCATGCACCTATGAAACCAATTTAGAGATACAATAGATTTTAGCTTAACCCCTTCACGCCGGTGCCTCCCAGCCCTTTAAGGGGCTTCTGACGCCAGGAGGCGGGGCGGGATTTAGGGTCATTTGACCGCCATGATTGGCTGCCATGGCAGTCACATGATTGGAAAGGTCCCGCTCGCAAAGTGAGATCAGGACCTTTCCATGGGACGCACCGCATGTGATCGGAGCACACAGGGCATGCGCTCTCAGCACATGTTTGTTTACAAATGGTACGCAAATATGTGGCCGTTCGGCGTCAAGGCTGCAGAGAGGCCGCATTTGCATACTGTCGGTGTGAAGAAGTTAAAGTAAATCTGTCAGTTAGCAAACTTGATCCAACAAGGTGAAATCAGACGCTGTGCACATACAATTTTTTCATTTCTTAGCATACAAGCCCATCCACCACCTCCTTCCTGCATGCTTCATTACAATGAACCGCTTTGGTCAATAGGACAATATGCCTTGAAATGGAAGGGGGTTAGAACAAGTCATAGCCCTGACTTTGCAGCTGAAAGCCAGTTGGCAGCAGGCACATGGGGTGCCAAGGAAGAATAGGAATATGCATACACAGCTCTTGGTGCCTTTTAACTTTTAATATCATGTTTATTGCAAAGGAACAGATCTAAGTTAAACTGTCTGTAAAATCAAAACTTTTTTCTTTTAGTTTTGGATAGAGTAAAGATGGATTAGAACCTCGGTCAAGTTTTTATTGTCGTATGTGCCCCTGTTAGGGAAATTCAAACTCTCTATTTGTCTTGTTTACCATTATCATTGAAAGTGAAAGTAAAAGAAAAACTCAAAAGTTTGTTTTGTCCCTAGAAAAGCTGAGGGGGAATTTTCCAAAGGAGACACACGTTCTGGTGAGCTGGAGTGACCCAAGGGATTCCCTTAATTTGCAGGGATTTCTTCTCACTTCCTGGTTTGGCTATGGGACTGGAAGTGAATGTAAATTTCCCCAATGGGACATAGATGGCACAAAAACTGACAGGGGTTATAACTCTTCCTTACTCTATCCATGAAAAAAATTAAAAAAACATGTTTTGCCTATAGTTCTTTAAATCACTTTGAATTTCTCTTTTCTTCATAACATATTGTCCAAAAACAGAGCAGCATAGTTCTTATAAATACTGAAATATAAGCTGTAGAATCACCAGAGAAAAGGGTTGCATGCTTAAATGTAAATCTAACAGCAAATCTGAGCTTCAGTATTTAAATCCATTTGTTTGTAATATGCTCAGCAGCTGCGTACAATATATTAGCCATATGCATATGGCTATGTTTGAAAGGATTTACAGTATTAAGTCACACAGCTTTGTGTGTGTGTACCATGTTAGGAGAAACAAGCACAAAAGCAATGAAAAGCCTTATGGTACAGTGCAGATTGGCTCAGGAAACTGCTGCAGCGTGAATACTGCAGTTGCTGACTCATGAATCTAACTACTGCAAGAATTGAAGAGTGATGGCAGAAGAAAAACAAGTGGTCCATCAAGTTTATCCCCCCATTAAATTTTTGTGCTATTTTTTGTTCTTTCTTCTCTTTAAAACCCCTTTGTTTGTTTTGTATGTGTCTTTGCATTGAGCAATGAAAGCATTTTCTGTATGGTGCCCATGTTAAGCATATGGGAAGGTGCAGCACCAGTAAACACACAAGGTCCAGTTGCAGTAAACAGATCTTGTATTAAAGTCAGAGTTCAAACTTCACAAACAACCCAGCGGAAAGACCTTCATCCGTGAAACTTACATACGTAACAGCAAGGTAGAACGGAGCTGGTCTTGGAAGTGACTACAGCTTCTATCTTGAAGGGCAGATTGCAGTCTGGCTAGTCTGTACCCAAATGGGGGGATTCTAGGCAGGATGGCGTTTCCCTATCATTTCCCTACTAATCTAGAACCTTACCCTACCACTATTCACTGTTCCTGTCAGAAGGGTGATCTATCCCTATACTACCCATTTTTCAGAAACGCACGCCAAGCCCAAGGCCAGGGTCTTATATAGACTCTGCCTGACCCAAGATGAACACCAGAGTCACATTGAGTGGCAGCATCCAACTGGATCACTTCCCCAGTGACTCAGAAAACCATACAGGAGCATGTTTCCCTTGACTTCCTCTCCCTCTGCAATGCTACTGTGTTTGAGCACCACCTACAGTGGAGGAAATAGACTGCACCTGCCTACACCCCTCCTCCATCCTTTGACAGATGCTGTCCTCGGCATCGCAACACAGAAAATGGCAACATGGAAACTGCAATAAACATGGTTAAAGCAAAACAGAAAAAAGTAAGTTTAAACAACATAGAGTACTTTGCAGGAAGCTGTCCACCATGGGTGGTGAACTACATTGTCTTCTGTGGAGTAACGTTGAAAGTGATCATTGGAAAGGCTGTTTCTCAACCTACTAAAGGGTATGCTCCCATTTGGGCTCCATATTACTGCCCCTTGTATTATTTACCAACACTTGGTCTCCCAGTCGCAATGGCAGATCTTCTAGAGCAGAATCAGGGGCCAGTTCCATGTGTCTATCAAACACCACCTGCTTAGCTTTCTGGACCCTTTCCCAGTGTTCCTGCACCCACGTGCAGCAAGTATTCTGGAGATCCTACTAGAAGGCCCACCAGCATCCAGTCATAGTGCCCAAACATCAGGAAGAAGAGTGTGTGACCAGTGACTCGATGGACTGTGTTCTTTTAGGCCCACACCACTGCCCCCTCATGTTGATCCCATCTTGGTGGCTTTGTTCGTAGCATACCCAGCAGGGTGCAATTGATCCATTCGCAAGCTTCATTACCCTGTGAATGATTAGGAGTGATGTGTGATTTCCGGATGCCACTGAGACACAGCTCAGACATGATCACTGATTCAAAGTTTGGGCCTTGGTCCAAGAGTATGTTCTTGGGGCAAATGTAGGGTTGGACTACATGCTACCAAAACAGTTTGGCCATGTTTGAGCCATCTGGTCTTTGGTGGGGACTACCACCGCAAACTTGGTGAAATGATCAATGAAAACCAAAGTGTAGTGATACCCTGAGGAAGAACCTTTTCAGTAGGGACCTTGTGCAGAGAAGTTTCCACACTCTGCAAGCTTTCTGCACCAAATCTGTCAGTCATGGGCAGAAGAAGTATTTCCTGACCAGGGACTCAGTTTTGTCAGCCCAAAAGTGCCCACGCACGATGTGTAGCACTTGGCAGATCTGAAAATATGCGACTGGGGGACCACAGCATGTAGGATGTCCCTTTGTTCAGTCGGAATGCAGGCCTGGTGATAAAGCACTTTGTCCCATGTCTCAAGCCAATCTCACTATCTCAGGATTGCTCGGGCTGTATTGGGCAGTTTTTGACATTCGTGGAGGATGGCCCATGTAGCTCGGGGTTGTTTGACAGTGAACAGCATTGTACCATGAAATTTCCAATTAAATAATCAAAGTTGATGACCCTGGAAGATAGACTGCAGATCCTCTAGCCCCATTAATTGGCTTACTCCCTAGGAGAATCGATCATTAAAAAAGGGTCACTCTCAAGTGGAGAAGCAGGTTGGTTTTAATCCCCCAAATATAACAAAGGTTCTTTTTAACCTGATAGGGTTATTTTTAGTTAAGAAAAAGCCCAAGATGGGGGTAAGACCAATTAAGCTAAATATTGGTGATACAGTTAGAACAATTCATCTGTAAATGGTGGTAGGAGGTTACAGGTTGAACAATTAGGGGGTTGAAACCTGCTGTTATGGGGTCTCACTCTTATAGCTGTTTTCACCTTGAAGTTGAATATAGTCATTCAAAAATGAGAACCACTAGAAATGGCTACAGCAAGTGGCAATCCAGGTGTAAATATCTCTGCCCTGATGTTGCCAAGGATAACTCAACCCTTAGCATCTACTCAAAATGGAATCAGTTTGGAACAGGCTGAATCTTTAAAGTGTGGAGTCAGTGACTGCTATCTACAGGCATTGTAAGCTGGTATCATAAATGTGAATTCAAACTAACACTCTCATTTCTGATTTTCTTTTATTCTTTACTAATTTGCCTTTATGATAGAAAAAATGGTTTTCATTAATATTCTAGCAGGAAATGTCACTTTTAATTTACATTGACTTTTGCCCTGTAAGCACATTTTTGTATTCCGTAGGGAGGAGAACACTGCTACTATCATGGTACCATCAGAGGTGTGAAGAACTCAAGAGTGTCGCAATATCTACTTGCAATGGTTTACAGTAAGGAGAAATGTACACTACATTTGCATTGCCATTAATCAACTATACAATGTTAAAGGATTGAAAATGGCATTCACAGTTATCAAATAGATGTTCTGCAATATAAAATACATGGAAACCCCAAAAGGGAGAGGGAGGCCTCTTTATAATGGACATAGGAGATGGGTAAACCTGAAAACTCTGGTGCCAAGATCCTGTGGTCAGGGTTCCCAAAAAATAAAGGAAGTCCAATGCTGGAATATTAGTTTTGAATGAAGTGTCAATTTACTTGATATACATTTGTGTTCATCACATAGTCAGATGACACTGCCAAATATCTGTTTAATTTTTTTGCCCTTGCAAAGTGCATACTATTATAATTAAAGAAAAATACTGGTCAAGTGTAATAGAATTGCCAAATAAGTAAAGTATTTGAGGCAATGTGCAGAATATATATAGGCTAAAGGAAAGTTTAGTAATATATTACTCTGGAAGAGCTTGATGTACCAAACATAAGCATGGTGGGTGGTCATCAGTTGCCCCTTACTACATCAATCTCTCCACTCAATCTTCTTCATTAGCTAGGATATGGTTGTATTTGAGTCTCTGTCTATTTCCCTAGGTCCAAAATATTTCTAAATGGCTTAATTATATAAGCACAAAATTTATTTGCAAAGACAATGCTTTACAAAGAGATCATTTCATTGCATGTGCATAAACCAAAATCCATTTATCAAAACATGCCACAAAGATGGTGGTCCTGAACCCAAAAAAATATAGTCATGGCCATGGATGATAAAATATTTGTTCTGCCAGATGTTGTATGGCCATACAACATCTGACAGAACAAATCTTTTATCATTCACGTAAATTATTATTATTATTATTATTATTATTTTTATTATTATTATGCACTATTTATATAGGGCCAACAGTTTGTGCAGGACTTTACAAAATAAAGGCAGACATTACAGTTACAGCTTACAATCTAAGAGGGAAGGTAAAATGATACAAAAGGTAATAACTGTGGGGTATGAGCTGATGGAGAAAGTAAAAACACAGTGTATTAGTTAGAAGCAGGATAGGCTTCTTTAAAGAGAAGGGTTTTCAGGGATCATCTAAACATGGATAGATTAGGATATATTCAGACAGACTTTGTAAGTTGTTGTTAGTATTTTGAATTTTATTTGTTACATGAGTGGAAGCCAGTGGAGGGATTGGCAAAGAGGGGTAGAAGACACTGTACGGTTAGTAAGGTGGATGAGTCTGGCAGTAGCATTCATGATGGATTGAAGGGGGGATAGCCTATGTAAAGGTAATCCAATGAGGAGGCAGTTTCAGTAGTGGAGGCGAGAGATGACCAGGGAGTGAATTAGAAGCTTTATACTGTATAGAGATATGAAAAACCTTTTTTTTTTTCACCAGCTTCTGCCATTGAAATAAATTATTTTTCTTTATGGAAATTCTTAAAAATTATAAGATGTATAGGGAGGATGAGGTCATTGCATAATTTGTGAAACAATGTAGTAAACTAAGCACGTCTGCTTCCCTCAGTGATGAATAAACTGCCTAGCTCAGGCAGGGGGAGAAGTCGTCTCTACTGAGACTCCAGGGAGCATCCTTAGCAGACAGACTTTAGTGCAGTGAGGAACACTTTTTAGCTCTTATTCATCCGGCAAGAGAAAATTCCTTTTAGAGATGAGAGTAGAGAGATCTTGTCAGACTGCCCAGCTGCATTCTGTCCTTATGAAGCCTTTGCCTTCATCATAGATGAATTGCGTAGAGGTCCCCTAATGGTTACATGGGCAAAAGGGATTCCACACAATTGCAGACCTCATGCCAAGGGTCTGTATGCCCAGTCCATGTAACCTGGATCTTTTGTCCTAGGTAGTCACTTATTTCTGCTGTTAAAAATGAAGTAATCTCAGTCTACTTCTTATAGTACAAAGATTTTAGCAACCTTTATTTCAGTATCCCACTAACATATTTTCCCGAAGGACATCTTTCTTTTAAATCTCCCTTTGCATCTTGCATCCCTTTCCATTTACTTGTACAGAGAAGAAAAGCAGTTCAGGTGCAAGAAAATGCCTGTACATAAGACCTAAAGAGTGCCAGTGGACAAGGAACCCCATAACTAAGCAGGTCCAAATATTCATTATTTTAACCTGGTGATACAGCCAGCAACACACATTTGTCTACGGCATATAATATTAGGAATTAATTTTGGGTAAACAGTTCAATAATAGCATTAAAAGAGCAATTGCTGAAAATACACTATATATATATATATATATATATATATATATATATATATATATATATATATATACAGGGCTTTAAATTTCCACTCACCTGCTCACCAATGGCGAGTGGAGATTATGGTGGGGGTGAGTGTGTTCCACAGGGCCATCTTGCTGAGCAGGCTCAGAGCTCAGGCCAGATCTGTCATAGGCACTGGGAGCTGTCAGACTGCTCAATAGCTGAGCACAGTGAAAGCAAAGCAAGGAGTGCGTGCTGTGCTCTCTGCCTCCCCCTAGAGTGCAGTACCCCGCTCTGTGAGTGAACAACGAAGTACTGCAATTTTTATGGGGAACGGGGGTGTGTGTGTGTGTGTACGTGTTCATGTGTGTGTGTGTGTGTGTGTGTGTTTCTGTGTATGCATGTACAATTGCACGTGTCTGTGTGTATGTACATATGTGTATCTGTACATGTGTCTGTGTGAATGTACATGTGTGTCTGTGTCTGTGTGTATGTACGTGTGTGTGTGTTTGTATGTACGTACATGTGTCTGTGTGTTCATGTGTCTGTGTATGTATGTATGTACATGTGTCTGTGTGTATGTACATGTGTCTGTGCGTGTGTATTTCTCTGTATGTACATGTATCTGTGTGTATGCGTGTCTGTACGTGCCTGTGTGTGTATACATGTGTCTGTATGTGTGTGTGTACATGTGTCTCTGTGTGTGTGTATGTACATGTCTGTGTGTGTGTACAGGTGTTTCTGTTTGTGTGTGTTTGTTGGTGGCGAGTAACTCTTAAGGCCTGGCTTGTAGCTCAGGACTTGAAATTTTAAGCCCTGTATATTATATATATATATATATATATATATATATATACATACATACAGTATGTAAGACCCCCCCAACTCCCCGAGGCATGTGAAGGACAGGGTGGGCTAACTTTGACTGACGCAGAGTCAATAGCTAGTAATAATGGACTGAGTAACTTTAGGTGTCGGTCACTTTAGTGTCTTTTTAGAGATGTTATTACATGCTTAAGAGATGGTTAAAGCATAGCTAAAACCCAAAGAAAAAAACAATATATTGTAGCTTACCAATCCTTGGATATGGTGGCTGCATTAGTTTTCTTTTTCTTCAAGCTTTTATTCCTAATTTATTTTCATCTGGTGATCAGCCAGTACGACATCTTAGGTTTAAGAGCTCATGTACACGAGGCGTTTGGAAAACTCTTCTGAATGATGGAAACTGACTGCTGGAAAATGTAGCTTAAATAACGTCAGTTTAGCCGCATTTGCATACCGTGTTTATGCGCGTTTATGCGCATTTGTGTTTAGAAGCATTTTTAAAACATAACATCAGGAGACCTTCCCAAATGCCCAGAATGCACTGACAAATAGTAAAAAAATAACTATTTCAGACATTTTGAGAGGAACAGAGAGAGCAGAAGCAGAGAGAGCAGTATGTGTTGAGGTTACCTGTCTTTTCTGGTTGTATTCACTATGGATCCCATCATGAGCATAATGCAGCAGGTTCTACCATTTTTTTTCCTTCACGCGAAACCTGGAACTGACTGCACTGGTGTAATAGGTCCATTTGAATACATGGAGAACGCTGTGCATGCATTTCTGATGATGAAAAAAGGCTCTGGACATGGAACAGTTAAAAAACGCTTTTAAACGCAAATGCTTACAAACGTTTACAAGTGTTTACACGCATTTACAAGAGTTTGAAATGCAGGTAAAATCTACTCCTGAACGCAAGTTTGGTGCGATCAAGAAAACGACTGTAAACTCAACTGCCTGTAAACGAATATGTATACATGGACACATAGGAAAACATTAGGGAGAGTTTAGGGGCTGCTGAAAAAAACACTGAACAGCTCCTGAACATCAGTTTAGGAGCTGCAGCGTACATCATCCCTAGGGTGGCTGCATTCACTTTTAGTTTACGTATATTTTTTTTTTTTTTTTTTTTTTTTTTGCACTGTATCCATAGAGGAGCAACATACTCTTGGACAGCAGCATTGCAAACCTTTGTAAACCAATTTGGGCAGCCCTACAAGTCTTAAATTGTTTGTCTCGGCCCTCTATCTGCTAGGTCTAACAAATTGGTCTGTTAATGTTAAGTTGAAGAATAATAGACTTACTGGGCTGGATCACAAGGTAAAAATACAGGATAAAAGCTTAAACTAATTGAGCAAGCACATCTAAGATTCAGTAAGCTGCAATGTAATACATTTTATTTCAGGGTTTAAAACCACTTTAATTTACTTATTACACCCTAATCCATATCATCTTTTTCACAATGTCCTCTAGTCAAAGGTAAAAGTAAGATCTGGAAGTCCAAGGAAAAAAAAAAACTCTTCATATGGTGTTGCTCAAATACAACATTTGATCTGCATAGAGGGTGCTCAGAAGGAAGGTTTACCCTTAAGCACATCACAAAAGTCAACAGCTAAAGCGTGAAATACAGTACTTTGATAAGGCTAAGACATTATGGATCCAAGTGCTAGAGTCTAATAAAAACAAAAAAACTGATCCCTTTAACTGCAGTCAACAAGCATTTAAAAAAAAGAACAGTTTAGACATAGGTGATGTTGAAGATGGATCTGTTATGTTTTGTGGTTAAATGGCAGTCAGTGGCACAAGAAATAGTGCACCGATAGAGGAGGGAATATCTTCTAGAGACATATGAAAAAAACATCCTGTAAGCCAATGTTCTATAATCAGTAATAAAACTGAAGCTCAAAAGAAGTTGAATATTCCAAAAGGTAGTGATCCAAAGCATACCTTAAAAATAACACATGAATTGCTTCAAAAAATGAAAGCTTGCAGTGTTGAAATTTTATTTAGAGCTGCCAGAACTGAACATTGAAAATGTGTGGATAAATGTCAGACACAGGGGCAGACTAACCATTTGGAAACTCGGGCACTGCCTGAGGGCCCGGGGTCAGTAGGGGGCCCCATGAGATGCCCCTGGTACCTTTTTCATAGGCTTTTTTGAGTTTGGTCAAGGACACAGGGGCCCCATGATCCCCTATTGCCCGGGGGCCCCATGAGTTGTCAGTCCGCCCCTGGTCAGACATTCTGTACTGTAAACCAGGGAGGGATTTCCATTACCTGAAGCTGTAGGCACACAATATACAACCAAAGGATCCCAAGTCAGCCTCTGTTTGAATCAAATTTCGCATTTCTGATATATGCCTGTTGTTCCATGTACTAGTATGAAAACGTATCCTGTTCTGTTTGTAGTGCTTCCGTTGTGTGAAATCCCTGGTGTTCCTGACAGTCCCTCTGCTTCCCAATAAAAACTGAAAACATTAGGCATGAAAGCACAGCGTGGTCAGTTCTCTAGCTATGCTGAGACCTTAGTCTGCTCTCTGCCAATAATCACATGTTTCCTGACACGTTTCCCCTTGCTTAGCCATTCACTGGGAAGACCAGTGTGCTGCTTTTTCTCCTCCATCAGCTGTCTGACCACCTTATGCAGCTGAGAACAGAGGGTCTGTGATTACTTATAAAAAAGGGGAATAGTGTATTTATAATATTTTTTTATATCTATACACAAATGTTTTACCTTTAATTTTATTTTTATTTTAAACAGTATAGGATTTTTTACAGGGTGAGGGTTCACATATACTTTAATGTTAACATGTTACTGATCTTAAACTGGGGGAGCATGTGACCTCCTCCAATGTGACAGTGCAAGGGTCTAGCAGCCATTTGCTAGGCTCAAGTACTGTTACTTGACCAGGGAAGTGATATCATCACTTTTAGTGTCAGACACCAGCCGACATCCTGGATTTCAGTGTCAGCTGCATTTATATTGTTGAGATTGTTAAATATTTTATGGTAGTCTCAAATGTACCAATTTTTTGCAGTGGAATGTTTGATGATGGCACCCACACCTATACCATACATCCAGTGGACCTAACTCACGACACTGTAAGTATCCACACCAGCAAAAGCATCACCTGAAAATCAGAACAAACATATACAAGTTTGAGTTTTTTTGTGTACATTTTTATATTGTTGGCTATGCTTTGAACTGCTACAGATTTTTCCCCACTACTTTTTTGCTCCTCATTATAGTTTTTAATAACCCCTGCCTATTAGCAGAAGTGACAACACTATCAGTTGCTGCACATGAGCCCCAGTGAATAAGAATTGACAGATAGTAGAACTTGAAAACCAGGAATTATCTTTTTCTATAAAGCTCCATACACAAGATGAGAATATTGGACCAATGATTTTTCAACTTTTTTTTTCTTTGCATGCTAGTCTCATATCAAAAATGAGGAGGTTACTCAAGTTACGAAAATTCTTGTAGGACAGAATAAAAATTTGGAAGTGATGTAATGTATTGTATTGTATTTTCGGATGAAAACTGTACTGATTAAGCAAAAAATCGTACGATCTGGTATCACACGAGAAACATTTTTGTGCTTGTCCCTTCGAATAATTTCAGGCGAAAGCTGTGTACTAACAATCAGATTATCATACGATCGCTTAGAAAGCGGTATTTTTCATATGCTTTTCTGATCATGTGTGCTAGGCTTTATCTTCCTTTTTATATAATACTATCTTGTGTCCCATTCAGAGTTGTAATTGACATATGAGGTGGTATCAAAAAGTTTCGAGACTAGTTTTGTAACACACCAGCAAATGGCAGTGTGAGGCTGCACACAGAGTCACAGAGAGCACTGACCTTCATAAGTCAGTGTGCAAAAAAAAACTTTGTCTTGTGTACATCTGGAGCTGTGCAACTGGTGCTATTCCGACCACATGCATTACCACGTCTGCTATTTCATCATGGACAGAAAGTTATAGCAAAGTGCAAACGTGAAATTCTTCATGAAACTGGGCAAATCTGCCACAGAGATATTTGACATGATTCAGCAAGTTTATGGCAATGCGGCAATGAGTTGTTTGAGGTGTTTTGAGAGGCACGTGTGCTTCAAGAGCAGAAGAACATCACTGGAAGATAACAAGAGATCAGGAAGATCTTCAACAAGCTCAAAAGACAAAAATGCCCTCTTCCGGAAGATGAAGATCCAGCTCAAAGGTCGCTGTTTTGACAAAATTCTGGAGATCCATCGATTTGCTTAGTTTCAACCAAGATTGTAAAAATGGACAGAAAGTTAGAACAAACAGCAAACGTGAAATTCTGCATCTTCCTGATCTCTCATCATCTTCCAGTGATGTTCTTCCGCTCGCGTGTTACTAAAAACACCTCATATGACTCATTGCAGCATTACTGTAAACTATATTTTATATAATTGTGCTGCTGTGGGAAATGTGTTTAAAAATAATTATTTTTCATCTATATGTAGATTCATTATTTCAACCTACTGCTCACTAATTGTTAGAATGTTTGTGCAACATATGCAAGTGATTATTTACGACATTCTTTGTCTCCTACACAGAATATTTGTGGGTTTTTTGTATACTGAGCCTACTAGCTCCATTCAGTGGGACATCTGATGACCAAGGCCACCAGATGGTTTCATGCCACTGAGTGCTTCTGAAAGATTCTGGAAGTGACCTTATTCTCTTTCTTTTAGGAAATCTCATTTATGTTCCTTTATATATAATTTCTATATAATTCAAAAGCCAAAACATCAGAGTTTAATGAAATAAGGCAAAAAGGTCCAGAGTAGGCAATTGACTATGATTAATAGTACGTTCCAACATCAGTTACAGTATTAAGAAAATACCAATATTCAAAATCAAAAATAAGTCTGAACATACATTCTAAGACAACTTTATACTGGTACACAGCCACCATGGTCCATTCAAAGTATAAAACATTATGCCAAAAAAACATAGGGAAGATGATACACTTGGCAGAGAAATAAAATTTTTGAGCAGTAAAAAATAATATGTAAGTGTACATTTAATTAGATATCATCAAGCTACGGTTTCCAGTCGATTCTGATCTTAAAGTTGTAAAAAGTTCAAGAGTTTATGAAGCTTGATATGGCTTACATTACTGAGAAAGGTAAGCAAAAGACATTGCTACAACCTATATTTATTTTCAGCACTAGACATAGAGTCTACATTAACACTGTATTCTTGGCCCTTTGCTGAACATTTCTTACTGCTTAAGACATTAATCTTATTGACAGTGGCATAGATCATGACACCAAGCATTCTTTGCTTAGGTACAGCTTGGATACATGTAGCATTAATAACGTGTTACTATTTCTTTTTCAGAGTTTTACTATTTTCTACAACAAGGCTACATAACTTTTTTCAAATTGAGCCTAAAGTTTAAAAGTAAACTTGTTCAGCTCCTTAGGTGGCTCCATAACATAACATAGAATAGACTTTGCAAAAATATATTTCACTGAGAAGTTAACTAAGTCCCCACCACATCATGGTCACAAAAAGCCTTAACAGATTACCGGGTCCCCAGATGCATTCTGGGAGATCAATCATCAGATATGCCCCTCACTTCTTGCTTGTCCAGCTCTTCCCTTTGCTACACAGGAAACAATCTATTATAAAGCTCTGCATCCCCTGGCTTCTTTCAGTCCAGTATTTTTCTGGTGTATGCTGTAATGAACTGCTTGCATAATGCAGCAGAAAGGACTTAGAATGTTGACTGTTGAATGGAGTTATGGAGCATTCAGGCACCTTGACCAATGTATCTGTGTCTCATTTTTGTTTAATTATATTTGATAGAAAAATACCTTTTTCAGATTTCCCAAAATAAAATTATAAAATCATGAAGCTAATAATTGCACTGAATTTACTAAATTTTAAATACAAGGACTATAAAAGGCAATTGTATAGAGATGCACCATTATTATAAAGTCATAGTGCTCATTAAATACCTTTCTGCTGTCATACTTATGTTTACTGGGAAGATTCTAGCTACTATATGCTAGATTTTGCATTTATTTAATTTCGTATAAACCAGGAAAAGGTTTGTCTGAGGTGCAATTAATGCTACACCAAACCTTTTCAACACAGCAGCTGAACATAATTAACTACTATCAGGGATAACACTGTACCGGTGGGAGCCAGGGGATTCCATGACAACAATCCCCCAGGACACACACGGAAGGTAGTGAGCTACCTTGGCTGCTTATGACCAGGAAGTGCTGGTCATATAAAGTTTTATACTTATCCATCTCTGGGTTTACCAACTAGTTCCCAAGTTTGGCATCCCCTTCCCATTGGAACATGCCATAAACCTTTGCTTTTTCTTTGATGATGTGTCATTACTCTCTGCAGCAGTCTGCTGATTATTCAGGGCAGCTAGATGATATGCCACATTGGATGGGTTCTTTATGTCCTGGGCTTACCAGAAGTGTGTTGAATGATGCTGCCTGTCATTCTGAGGGTGATGCCGGATTGCAGAGTAGTGAGTCTGTGGGGACAGTGCCAGAGAGAAACTGAATATTGAAGTCAGATCAAATTTTTTTATTTCATTTTAGTTTTTAGTGATGCTAGGAAATGATATTTAAAATTTTTGCCGTAACCTGGACTTTGGTTTTAACAATGATACATTTTTTGGACAATATGTAATATGTTGCGGGTCCATCCATGAAATTAAGGAGCCAACTATTTGAATTTTCTTTGGCATCGCTTGAAATCATGCAGCACAAACTGTTACATTCCAACTGGCAGCCTGTATGTGTGTCCTATTACAAAACTACTGAAAAAATGTATTCTCACATATTTGTGATTTTGTTTTCAGAGGTTATAAACTTCTTTAATAAAACTACATTATTCCAGCTTCTTGTTGTTTGATTTGGACCAGCATTTGTTGTTCTCCAGGAAAGCACAAGTCGTCCCCATGTCATAGAGAAATCTCCAGGATCCCAAATTCCTAGTGAACCACACCATTTAGGTAAGTTACCCACAAATTCAGTTACATTTTGTAGACATTTTAAGAGAGAGCTTATCTATTTAATTTCCTAGTTTTATTTTCTGTAGTTCCTCTGTACAAATTAATTGTCTTAAACAATGCTATATTATACCCTAAATGTAATAGATTATTGAATAATCAGTAGTTGAATGAAAGGGGATATACCTCTAAGGTCCTCTCCTGAGAAAGGAGAACTCTAACTGTGCTGAGGCCCATGTCAAAAATTATTAAGAGGCCTCCATCACTTTATTCAGCATCTCAAAAGCTTTCATATATTTGCTTTCATAGCAGTTTTATAGGAGTTCTGAGACTAACTAAAATAAAATGCTTTTGCCACCTGCATAAATTACTATGTAGCCAGACAATGTTGGGTGCCAAAGTAGTCATTGCACATACATGGTTTTACTCTGTAGGACTCTACAGAAATCATCTACCTGCAAGGATTCTGATAGCAAGACAGGGGTCTTGGAAGGGGCAGGCCATGGTGCAACTGTAAAAGATCTGGTAGTTGTTGGCATTATAGACAGCCCTGGATTTTTGATGTGCCTTGCTAATCAGATCCAAATGCACACGTTAAAAGATTCTTAAAATGTGTCTGGTTTTCTATTGCTGTGCTTTGCACCAAGTTATCAGAATCCAATATATTGTACCAATCTGCACCATGGCAGTATGCAGAAATTAAACATTTAATCTGTCCAGGTATATAAAGAAAAATAGGTAATAACGTCCATTTACATAAAAACACATTTGCTATAGAATGTGTCCTTAAAACTGAACTATGTGCTAAGCAAATATTTTCTAAATACAAATATTATCTAAATACGTAAGATATGTGTATTGCTAATTTAATTTTCCAGCTCTGTGCTGTAATTAAGCTTGAATTTCCTGTAATAAAGGCCCGTCACTGCTGTTCTCTCTTCTTTTGTGGGGTGACTGGTCTTGTATCCATTCCCTGCTGTAGTTTTTTGTAGACAGTCTGTGAATGGAGCCTGCTGGGTCTCTGCCCCCTCTCTCCCCCAGCTCTGCTCTCTGCATAGGTTATGTACAGCACAATGTTAATATTGCATCTACATTTACAAGGTAATAACCTTTTTTTCTATAAAAAAAGAAAAAAAAATGGCCAACTGGTGCATACAAAGTAGATTTATATCCATTGTGGCTATTGGGGAATATGTTTGCATGAAACTTTTTCTATCTGGAGTTCAGCTTTAAACTTTGCAATTGCTTCTTTTATATATACATTAGAAGTTTTTTTGATGCAATTTATGTTAATCCTCTTAGCAGATTCTGAGAAGAAAGTCAACAGCCAACAGCCATTTTTTGCACAAACACAGTGGGTAAGAAGGAGAAGGAAAAGGACAGTCAGTGTGAGTATAATAATCATTCTCGGGTGCGCTGTTAGAGCTTACACACATCCATTCTAAATATTTCTGGTTCCAAAATTTCCTAAAATGTCCTTAATTCATATGATCGGCATATACTGTACAGTGTATCAAAACTGGACAAAATATACTGTAATTTCCATTTATGGTAAATAAGTCATATAAAAACAACCAATGCATTTGGGGGGGGGGGGGGGCAACACCATTCCCCCTTTATCATCCATTGCTGCTCAGCAACTGCTGTCAAGTAGTTACTATGTGGAGAGTTCATACTGGATCTAATATCTGTCAAGTCACTATTTTCTTCATCCATCTGAGGTTTATCCTGATGAAGGGGGAGTGATGTTGCCCTCAAAATGTGTTGGCTGTTTTTATATGATGTATTTATCAACAATTAAAGTTATCTATCAGGTTTTGGTCTTGCTCTCCTTACTGTATTTTTATGGTTTGAGCTACTCTCAGGTGCCTGTCAAGGGAAGCCTTGCTGTTTGGTAGCTGCTTGGCCAGAGGTATTAAGCTTGTTTAAAGTTTTTCTTCATATGACTACATGCGCAAACGTTCCCAGCGCTTCTTTGAGTATGTTCAGGAATCAATGATAAGCAGTCAGTGTTGTAACAACATATTGTCATGAAACCAATCACCTTTACACTATGTATAGATCTTGTATTTCTCTGGTTCACATGTATGTGAATTGGATACTTTTGGAACCGCATCCAATTCTCATGACATGTGAAATAACATTTAATTCTTTTTTTTTTTTTCCCAAAATATTTTTATTAGAAAATAAAGTATAGCAGTATACATACAAATACGGATCACAGTCCGAACATAGACACATCATATAGCATCCCCTTACGCAGATGGGTCAAGTACACAGCTGGTCGAAATATATCCTTAATGCAAATGTATATGGCAAACCAGTAGATACAAAGAGTATAGTAGGTAAATCAAAATGGGTATAAGGATTACTGTCTTATGTACTGGTGAGCCCTTATGTCGGCCGAATGTGATGTGTTGGGTATTGCTAGCACATGATGACTTATATGACAAAATTTGTGTGTCCATTTCAGGAGCGGTTGAGCCATGTGAAATCAGGCACATTTGTATAAGAGATAAAATGCCATATTTGTTGGGATTTGGGAGGCTAAAGATAAAGAAAAGTCAGAAAAGAGAATAGCTAGCGAGAAAGATGGGAATGTAACGTGAGGTAGTGGGGGGGAGAGAAAAAAAAAGAAAAAAAAAAGGGGGGGGGGGAATGGGTAGGGAGGAAAGGGAATGTTAAAGTGGGTAGTTATGGATAGAATAAGTCATATAATTTTGTATGGGCCACAACGATAGTCATATATGGTGGGATGCAACACATGCAGGATCGTTCAAAAGGGCAGCGCGTGAATCAAGAATCTGAGACGAAGGCCACGATGCCGAGTCTCAGCCCATCCAAATATACACCAAATGCGTCTTCGGAGGACAGGGTGTTCCCTAATATAGCATAGTGTCTAGTCATTCAGTCAACATTTAATTCTATTGTGCCTGTTCACATATGTGCAGTGCAACCAGAGTGTGGATTCAGCGTGAAAGGAAAAAGAGCCCTGTCAGTTTTCTGAGCAGTGCTCAGGTGCAAATTCAGGCTCACTGACTCCTATGGGAATGCTTTTGAATTGCACATATCATCATTTGTGAACAGGATAAAATCCTTACCTGAACCTGATCTTAACCTGACCTGAACTGCTGAACAACTACTTTTTCAATTAGCTGTGGAAACGGAGCTTCAGTTCACACTGCACATGTGTGAATCCACGCTCATTCTACACATGGAGTCGGGCTGATTTACTGAGGGAGTTGAGAATCTTTGCACAATAAATTGCATGTAAGCTCCAAGGAGCAGGGCTCTCCTATCCCTCTTGTATTGAACTGTATTGTTGCTGTATTGTCTCCCTTTATATTATAAAGCGCTGAGCAAATATTGGAGCTATATAAATCCTGTATTATAATAATAATAATGAATGTTCGCTTCAATTATCCAATAGTGTGAAAGGCATATTTCTATTTACTTTGAATACCAGGTTATGTGGAAATAAAATAAGGAAAAAAGAATTTGCTTTTCACAAAGTGAAAGAAAATATTCATTATAATTTATGGGGTAAAGATTTCAACTCTTTTAGTAATCAGCCTCATTATGTACAGTATGTGCAGTAATGTAATCTATATTCTTTGCCTCAGTCACACACAGGATATTGGTCACCTACTTTCCTCTATCCTCAGTTAGGCCCTCTTTATCCAAAGAGTAGACACATCTAAATCAACACCACACAGTGCATTTTTGTCATTCAGTCAGCAGAGGGAATACCAATTACCCAAAACCTCATGTAGATTATTGGTATACATGAACTAGAAAACATGTTTATACTTTAAATTATGTTTTGTGCCCTGTATATATTTGCCATTGTTCTTCAAGTCCTGTCACTTTGCCCAAATGCCAAATACCAGGAGCTGTTTCCAGTTTGGCCTATTGGTTAATCAGGCTTACACTGAGCTACTAGGTATTACTGTGGGCTGCTGGAAGACTACACATAAAGTGTCAGATTAACCGTAATCTTCCAAATGAAAGTAATCTTACAGTAATTCTGTTTCTATACATGTAGAACAATGAGTCTGGTTTTACTGTGTGTAGTCGGCACTATCCTAGAAATAAAAGGGAAATGTTAGCATGTTTGTCTCTAATCCTGGGTTTTCATATATTGTGGGTTTTGTTCAATCTTTCAAGGTCACACTACATTGTGCTATATCTATAATTAGTAAAGTAAGGTCAAAATGTGCAGTGTATGATCCAGAAATGTTTGGTGGTCCAGCTGATACAATAAGCTTCAGATACTGGACTTTGTAACCAGAAAACCCTATTAGAAAATGGCATCTTCTGACCATATGTGGGGTCATCATCCAACCTCAGTGAGGTACCCTGTACATGGAAGATCTAGCTGCATCACATGTTTTACGCAAAGTGAACAGAGCTCAGCCTGTACCATGAGTAATGCTCTGCAATTTGTTTGACGAAAGCTCTTGGTGATTACATGAGCATTAACACTGACCTTTGAATGCATAGCAGTTGGTCTTTCCTTGGCTGGATTCACAGTTCTGAGATTGTGGTAATGCAACATGCACTGACACATGTAACATTTGTTTGGTGCACTGTGGTGCCATTCATTTGCAGTGGCACCCAAACACCCTAAAGCAATGCAGCTGCATGTAATACTCCACAACTCTGCAATTTTGCTCATGCATGGGCAGCCCATTCAATAAGTGTGTTGTATGCATTGCATTGCAAAAGAAAAGAACATATGGGATTTTGCCCATGATGGGGTATGCTGTGGGCGACGAATCTTATTGTGCATGTATAACACACCACAGAAATGTAAATGGTGCCTTAATGTCTGCTGCCTTCACCATTACCCCTGGGTGCTTTTTTATAATCTGCCCCATTCACATAGGATGCATTCAATTATGTGTGCAGTTTGACAAAGATGGTTTTACTCTTTGGATACATTTTATATATCAGAATATTCACTTAAGTGACAATTCACTAAGGTGCATGTAACTAACCCCTAACTTCTTTAATTTACTACTTCTTGGTCTGTTAAATAATATACAATTGAAAACATTTTGCAATATGATTTTGATAAGTCAATTAAAAAAACAAACGTGTTGATCATGCCAGAAGTTCATAGATGTCCTGTGTTCTCTACACATGTCCTGTGTTGTCTCAAGTAGTATAATAATTCCTCCTAACAAATAGAAATACCCCAATGTACCAGTGTTGCCAACCGCTCTTGTTTTTATGGGCAGCCAGTAAAAAAAAAAAAAAAAAATCACTTTTACTTACCCAAGTCCTGCTCCCATATAGGCTACTCCACCCTGCTAGACTCTGTGCTTTGGCAATTATTATTATTATTATTATTACATCGAGTTTATACAGCGCCAAAGGGTTTGCTCAGTGCTGTACAATAGAGGGGGGGGGACAATACATGAAACAGTACAGCAACTACAAACAGCACATGAGGGGTTAGAGGGCCCTACTCTTTAGAGCAGTGGTTCTTAACCTGGGTTCGATCGAACCCCAGGGGTTCGGTGAGTCAGTCTCGCGGGTTCGGCGGAGGTGAAGACCCACACCCGACTCATATGATTCGTGATGACATGCCCCGCTTGTCCATCATTGGCTGCAGGTGGTCACGCAACATCGCTTAGCCCAGTGGTCGGCAAGCCGCGGCTCGCGAGCCACATGCGGCTCTTTACACGCTTTAATGCGGCTCTTGTGTGCCGGGCGCCCGCTCCCCTCCCTCCTCTCGGGCGGCAGGGACTCTGCAGCGTGATCCAAAAAAAAAAACAGCCAGGGCAGCGCGCTCAAATGCAATGATTGGCCAGTCTCGCTGCCACTCACATCCTGATAGCCAGTGATTGGCTGTCAGGATGTGTGTAGGCGGGGCAGCGTGACGAACGTGAGAGGAGCTAGGCTCCTCTCACAGTCCCCCTGAAGACCGGAACGGCGCGGGAATACGGCGAGAGGAACGCGCGGAGCAAAGTTAAGTGAATTGACACAGGGGGGACTTGGCTTACTACTTGCTACTTACTTACTACTACTATATAAGGGATGAATTAATATGGGGGATGAATTACTATATGGGGGATGAATTACTATGGGGGATGAATTACTATGGGGGATGAATTACTATGGGGGATGAATTACTATATGGGGGATGAATTACTATATGGGGGATGAATTACTATATGGGGGATGAATTACTATATGGGGGATGAATTACTATATGGGGGATGAATTACTATGGGGAGATGAATTACTATATGGGGGATGAATTACTATGGGGAATGTATTACTATGGGGGGATGAATTACTATATGGGGGATGAATTACTATGGGGGATGAATTACTATATGGGGGATGAATTACTATATGGGGGATGAATTACTATGGGGGATGAATTACTATATGGGGGATGAATTACTATGGGGGATGAATTACTATATGGGGGATGAATTACTATATGGGGGATGAATTACTATGGGGGATGAATTACTATGGGGGATGAATTACTATGAGGGATGAATTACTATGGGGGATGAATTACTATATGGGGGATGAATTACTATGGGGGATGAATTACTATATGGGGGATGAATTACTATGGGGGATGAATTACTATATGGGGGATGAATTACTATGGGGGATGAATTACTATATGGGGGATGAATTACTATAGGGGGGGATGAATTACTATGGGGGATGAATTACTATATGGGGAGATGAATTACTATATGGGGGATGAATTACTATGGGGGATGAATTACTATATGGGGGATGAATTACTATGGGGGATGAATTACTATATGGGGGATGAATTACTATAGGGGGGATGAATTACTATGGGGGATGAATTACTATATGGGGGAAGAATTACTATATGGGGGATGAATTACTATGGGGGATGAATTACTATAAAACAGTGGTTCTTAACCTGGGTTCGATCGAACCCCAGGGGTTCAGTGAGTCAGTCTCGCGGGTTCGGCAGAGGTGAAGACCCACACCCGACTCATATGATTCGTGCAGTAAATATTCATTATTATGTTTTTGTTTTTGTGTGAAAATCATGTTTTAATGGTTTTGTTCTTTGTTCTTAACGGTTTTGTTCATTTTGTGCACCTATGTATAAATATATACCTATGTTTTGAATTTTAAAAAATCATATTTTATTTTTCCAATTAAGAAGGGTTCGGTGAATGCGCATATGAAACTGGTGGGGTTCAGTACCTCCAACAAGGTTAAGAACCACTGCTTTAGAGCTTACAATCTAGGAGGGAGGTTCTCTGAAATAATCAAATAAAATGCAGTGCCTGTAGTGCTGCACTGGACATGGCAAATGTCGATCACTGGATCAACATTTGCTGAGTGGACAAGCTGGGAAATTTTCTGGCTGAAAGACAAAAAAATATGAATAGTATATGGGCCAATTTAAGCTGTAGGGATATTTATTTATTTATGCTAAACTTCAGCTTTAAGTCTGAGGTTCTAAATGATGCCTATTGATCAGACTTTTCCCTGGGCAGAGCTACATGTGTGACGTCATGACGCCACATTGGTTTTCCTTTGTGGTGGCCACTGGTGACAAGTGTATACTACTGCCCCCAGTGGATGAAAGGAGGAGTTGAAGATCGGATCCTGTGTGATAGAGAACCTTGCCCAGGTTACCTTAAATGCTGTTGCTGCTTATTTTCTGGCAGCATTTGTTTGCAGTGAGTTTGCATTTTTTCTCTTTGCTGAGAGGTGACGAGCAAAAACTTGGGTGGATAATTTCCACACGGCGGATGCACGTTCTTGGACTGTCATATGTTCATATAAGTGGATTTGGATGTTAATTTATTTATTCTTTTGAGTTACATTTGATGATACTGTATGTTCACTATTTGTTTATGTGCTGCAATTATTGTATTATGTACCTGTGATATATGATGGTGTTTATCTGACATCTATTGTGTTAATATTACAGACACGTGGTGGAGTATTTGAAGAGATGAAATATATTGAACTTATGATTGTGAATGACCATCAAATGGTAAGCACTTTTGTACTTGTGGTGGTATATCTAGAGATAAATAAGTAATACAGTAAAAGGATTTTCTTTTTTGCCAATACGTTTTGTAATATGCATATTTTGATTACCTGTTTTGCATAGTAGGCATTTTTTACACAGATGGTTACATATTTTTGTAGCCATAGGTTTAACTCAATGTTATTTCAGTGGAACATCTGAAGTGTTACCGTGACCCCTGCATAGCTTGATGTGTGTGACACTCAATCCTCATTCAATACTCCGGACATGTTGCTGTCCCTGCTGTAGATAAATTGAAGTGCTCAGGCCCATCCAGTGGCACTCATTTAGATGCCATATTGTAGTCACCTTCCGTAGTCATTTTCCTCTTCCTCTTCTTATTTAAGTCCCTATTCATTACACACTTTACTACTTTTAAAGTAAACCTTTCTTGAAAGAAACATAGAGGCTGGCATTGCTGACCTCCTACTAAAAAACCCAGTTGCCTGGCCATTTTATTGATCTGGTCTTTCAGTTACTGAGTCACTGTGCTAAAACAAGTATATGGGTCAGTCCTCTCAGATCAGAACTCTTTATCTTCTTGCTTGTTCTAGGTTAATGACTTAAAGTACCAAAGCCAATGGGTCTGCATGATATCCAGGGAACTAGCATTTGCAAACTGAGCAATCAGTAATGGTAGCCTCTATATTTTTGTAAGTAAAAGGGTTCTTTTAAGGTTCCTATAGAATTGAGATTATGATCAAATGTACAGGCACTATATAACACCATCAGGCACCTGCATCTGCTGAGGACCTAGGTATCAATTTATGCCATTTGGAGAGAATGGAGGAGGGGAGAATGGGGATTGCCAGGTGCTTGATATACTGTATGTGTGTAACACTGGGGCATTGTGGGGTGGATTTACTAAAGGCAACTAGGCTGTGCACTTTGAAAGTGCAGTTGGCTTTAGAGCTTAGTAATTGACATAAAGCTTCACTTTGCAAGGAATACCCAATTGCATGCAAGGAAAAATATAAAAAAAATACCAGCTCTTTTCTTCCACATGTTTGATTTTTTGAAGTCTGCAGAGCTTCCCCTCCTTTACTAAGCTCTAGTGCAACTGCATTTGTAAAGTGCACAGTCTATTTGCCTTTAGTAAATCAACCCCAGTATGTGTTTTAAAACGAGGAAAGGGATTTGTCCCCAAAACGCGTCAGTAGGCCGACCGCACCATCAGTCGGATACTCTACCATCCTTTTGGTCATCTCCATGGCCTTATAGGCTTTACACACATGCTATGTTTGTGAGTATATATTTTTTGTCCTTTTACACTTTTAATAAACCTTGGATAATGTACTAGGTGTTTGCTCCACCTGTATGCTTTCTTCCTGGTATACTATATGCATGAAACACTGTTATACTGTATGAATGTAACACTGGGATATTGTCTGTGTGTAACACTGGTATATCTACAGCAAATTGGTATTTACCGTATTTTTCGCTCCATAAGACGCACCTGACCATAAGACGCACCTAGGTTTTAGAGGCAGAAAACAGGAAAAAAAAAATTCTGAACTAATGGACTGCAGACATAGTACAGGGATGACCAGAGACTGCGGACAGCACAGGGATGACCAGAGACTGCGGACAGCACAGGGATGACCAGAGACTGCGGACAGCACAGATGACTGCTGACCTTTGGGGAGGTGGGGAGCGGGTACCTGAATTTGACAGGTACCCGCTCTTACTTCCGCAGAGTTTTGTTTGATCTTACCTGTTCCTCGATCCAGCCGCGCGCTGTCTTCCCGGCTTCTGTAATGACGCTCGGCATGACAGCCGGGTGCCCAGTGCGCATGAGCGAGAGGCACTTGCGCTTTGTGATTGGTCCAGCGGCTTCTGGGATCGGTCATGTGTCCCAGGTACCACCTTACCATTCACAAAAAGCACCGTTTCTTGCGCATGCGCACTTGGCACCTGGCTGTCATGCCCAGTGCCCGCACTACACAAGCCGGGAAGACAGCGCGCTGCTGGATAGAGGAACAGGTAAGAACAAAGAAGTAAGAGCGGGTACCTGTCCAATTCAGGTACCCGCTCCCCACCTCCCCAAAGGTCAGCAGTCCTCTCCATAAGGTCCCGTTGCAGAGCTGAGCGGCCGGCCCGGTATTCTGCACGGCGGCGGTGGAAATACCGGACCAGTCGCTCTATATTCGCTCCATAGGACGCACTGACATTTTCCCCCCTTTTTTGGGGGGAAAAAAGTGCGTCTTATGGAGCGAAAAATACGGTATATGACTTATGTTTTAGCTTGTTTTAGTAAGTAGTATTTCAGTATTGTTGGAAATAAATAGCATCATCTTTACTCCAGTTTGCCCACTAGATGGCAGAAATGACGAACAACTGAGGCTTAGACTAGAATATAAATGTTCCTGGTATGGGATGTCAAACCTAGCGTGTGCGTGTGTGCGTGTGTGCGTGTGTGTGTGTGTGTGTGTGTGTGTGTGTGTGTACGTTAAGAGTAAAGAAGATAACAAAGGGAAAATGATTCGTTCTGCAGCAGATTGACCCAGAAAAGAAGATAGTAATAAAACCTAATACTCTATAAACTGTTTACTTGTGTATCAATAATATTTTAATGGTTTGCGTTGCACTGTGTCTCTGTGGATGCAGGATATCCTATTAAGGTGCATTTGAACTGCAGCAAAGCAGGGAAAACAAAGCCTTTTCTTCTCAAATGCTGTGTTGGATATTCAAATGTTTGCTATTGTATTCCAGTATCAAATGCAGCAATTGCCAAGAACACCTATCAACATTAGCCCTCTTAGATTGTAAGCTCCAAGGAGCAGGGCCCTCCTAACCCTTTTGTATTGAACTGTATTCTTGTTGAATTGTCTCCCATTATATTGTAAAGTGCTGAGCAAACTGTTGGCGCTATATAAATCCTGTATTATTATAATAATAATAATAATAATAATAATAATAATAATAATAATTAGCCTTTGCTCTATTTGTATGTCTTTCTCATTTTCTTTTATTACTCTGCAAACCTTTTCTTGTGACCAGGCGGTGGCAGTGTTGCATTTGTAACAATGCAGGATACTGAGTCTGTGCAACACCTAAAATAGAGCTCTCCTCAAAAATAACTTGCATTTTCTTTTCTTTCAGTATAAGAAACAACGTTCTTCTCACATTCACACCAGCAACTTTGCAAAATCAATAGTGAATGTGGTGGATTCAGTAAGTAAATACCATCTGTTGTCTTTATTATTAGCAAAAATCATTTGTTTTAGCACTGTAAGGTCTGAAAGGATAAAGACAAACTGGGGTTGATCTACTAAAGGCAAATAGACTGTGCACTTTCCAGAGTCCAAAAATACCCCCAGTATTTTTGCTTGCACATGATTGGATGATGGATATCAGCCGTTTCCCCTCATTTACAAAGCTCTGGAGCAACTTGCAAAGTGCACAGTCTATTTGCCTTTAGTAAATCAACCCCATTGACTGTAATTGTGGAGAATCCAAATAATTCTTAACAGGATTTGGGCTTCATGACCATACTGGGACCAGACAGAACACAGAGCTGTGTAAAGATATTCTCCAGACCCAGTGCAGCCATGTCCAGCTAGCCACTGGGATGCATGAGAAGAGGCAGCTGTACATGGTTGTGTGCCAGGTATTGTGTAAAGCACCTGCAGGAGCACTGATATATGCTCAGATCTGCATTCAGAAATAATTCTAGTGCACATGAGCATACTTTATACAATCACGTACAGCTGCCTTTTCTAATGCATCTCAATGAGCAGCTGACTGACTATGGCCAACCTTGGGAGCGGATTATGTCAGTGGATTTGTTAAATTTTGGCAGGTTGGAGGGCATTGTTCTTCCTGACCGATATGAATCTGCATTGCTGGACGACGTGGTTGACAATGGATGTACTTCATGGGACTTTTTTTTTTAATAAAGGACTTGTCAAAAAGTGTCAGTGCATTTATTTACTGTATACTTTGTTTGGCGAATGAGTAGGAGTGCTGTGCACCCCCTACTCATTCAGATAGGGAGGAACCAGGGTTTGGGGTCCCCTAATTCATAAATGGGGCTTCCATATATATATACATCCGTCTTCATCAACATGTCGACAAGGTGCCCAGATGGTTTTTGTGGATTTTGGGGGACCTCAGGCTTTTTTAACTTACTTTTTGCAAGGGACCACCCCTTTTTCCTGGCTGACAGCCACATGGGCTGGATGGATAGAGAATGACCCATTGACCCATTGGTTGTTAGGACGTCGGCAGCTGCTGGCTTCCTAACAGCCAACCTGAGGGGAAGCTGTCATATTTAGAAGTGGTAATGACACCACTGAGACAGAACTACTCACACTGTCCAGATGGAAGGTCATTGGTATGAGATAAGAATAGTATGGCAGAATAATTGGAGTTGGAGTAAGTGGCCACAAATGGTAATCATTTTTTTTTATAATACATCTCCTTTTTGCAGTGTCTTTTATGTAGTACCAGTAAAGGGTTACATTTCAATAAAAATATTTAGAATTGTTGTATCAGTATAGAACACATCTACATCTTTGCTATTTGATGTAATGGTCTCTGAAGCAAGGTAGATTGTATCTGTATACCTTGGGGTAGTGCAATTAAGATGACAATTTTATTGATATACCTCAATCAGCCACCAAATGACAAGAGCTAATAGCCACCTAAAAGTAAATAAAAACTTAAGCCACCTGGCTTTCGTAAGTGAACAGATAGTGGGCAGTTAATGCATCAAAAACAGAGTCATTCACAGCCATATTGCATAAAATAGACAGTGTTTACTTAAGTACTGTGAATCGGTAAACCATAGCAAAGGATTCAAAGCTTAAAGTAATATATTAATGTTACTGAAATATGTTGTAAGCCTAAGAAGAGCTATAAATCTAGATAGTGATCTATTGGAACTGTTTTTCAGCCTGTCAGGGACAAAATTACTAGAAATTATATACACGTGTACAGTAAGCCTTATCATGCAACAAATCCAAATCCATTTTATTGTCCAGATGTTCAACATAGAAAGCTATTTAAATCCCACATGAAACGAAAGAGCATTCTACTATCATATGCTATTTTATAAATCTTATAAAATAATAATAAAATATTCATAAGTTAAATTAATGGATCTATGGAGGTGTGGCATTGTCACCCTAGGCTGTGAAACTTATTTGGATTGCTTCTTATCGATAACCACCCTCCTGCTTAACATCCATTGATTGAAAAATTGAAGGTGCTGTGCACAGACAATTGTTAGCCGAACAACAACTGCATCAAATCAGATGTAGCCAGGGTTTGGGTATTTTGATAGCCAGCAGGGCTGGTTCTCAAAAAGTTCCAAATTAAAGATCCAGAATTTTATCAATTTTGTGATCTCCTAAGCAATTTGTGTGCCAAGACAATTGGTAGCGGTGGAATTGTGTTGATTGCTTCTTATTGATCACCACCCTTCTGCCTGACATCAATTGATTGAAAAATTGAAGGAGCTGGGTAGAGACAATGGATAGCCCAGCAACAACTGAATCAAATCAGATGTAGCTGGAGATTGGGTATTTTGATAGCCAGCAGGGCCGGCTCTGAAAATACGTTAGCCGCAGTGGGAGATTCATCCACGCTGTATAGGTATACACTGTCTGAAAAAAGTCTATATGCGCTTAATTTCCTTGGTAACTTCCTTTTCACAGTGCGGTGCATTGTGATACTGTCCAAATAATTCTAAAGAGAGTGTAATAACATACATTTTATACTCCTGTAGGAACGGTTTGTACCACCTTTCAAATCTTAATTTACTTCCATTGTTGCAGAAAAGATGTAGGTAAACGTTTTACATAGTCCACCTTTGTGACCTTGTTTTTGGGTGCAACTTGAAACATGGCCACATTCACTAGCCCCCTCGTATATTTCCCCTTACTTAGCTAAATCATAGAGTGCTTCTTTCTGAAGTGTCCTGTTTTCTTTTGAATTTAGCCTGACTATGTGTGGCTCCACCCACACAGTTACATCATCCATTCACAGGAATCTAGGAATGGAAAGACTATAAGTGACATCTGCCACTGTAGTAGAAGGACTTGTAGATCTCAGCACAGCACAAGTGCAGTGATGTCACCACACTTGTAGTCCAGTGTTTACTTTCTCCAGCCCCCCCAGCCAAACAATGACTGCATCAAATCAGATGTAGCCGGGGTTCGGGTATTTTGACAGCCAGCAGGACCAGATGCCAAAATACGTTGGCTGCAGTGGAAGATTCCTCCATTCAACTAAAATGTTGAATTAAATGCAAGTTCCAAATTAAATATCCAAGGTTTGATCAATTTTGTGAGCTCCTGTGCAGTTTTTGTGCCAAGACAATTGGCAGTGGTGGAATTGTATTGATTGCTTCTTATCAAACACCACCCTCCTGCAGACATTCATTGATTGAAAAATTGAGGCTGCTGGGCAGAGACAATGGTTAACCGAGAAATGACTTTATCAAATCAGATGTAGCCGGAGTTTGGGTATTTTGACAGCCAGCAGGGCCAGCTGTCAAAATATGTTAGCTGCAGTGGGAGATTCATCCATTCACACTGTATAATTTTTTTTTTTATTATAATGGGCAGCACAGTGGCTAAGTGGTTAGCACTTCCGCCTAGCAGTGCTAGGATCATCGGTTTGAACCCCAACCACAGCACTAACTGTGTGGAGTTTACATCAGCGTCCAGGTTTTTTTTTCACAGCTTAATTGAACAAGCCAAAAATTAGAAGCTGATTGGCTACCATGCACAGCTGCACCAGAATTTGCATTCTCCAGTTTCAGTAAATCAGGATTTACTAAATCTTTACCAGGTATCTTTCTGTATTTGCTGAAAATGTACTTTTATTAAAAATGAAAACTAATCCCAAGATCTCCTCCTGTCTAGCTACCTTGTGCTCTTCTTCCATACTTGCCTCCAGGACTTTTTCAGAGCCTCTTCAGTTCTCTAGAGCTCCCTATCCTAATCTTTCAAGCTGTCTCCTACTCTGTCCATCTTTAGATCTTTAAAAACTCATCTCTTCAGGGACGCCTATCCCTCCTTCACCTAAGAATTGAACTTTAACTTTTCAATCATCTCATCCCTCTCACAGTTACAGTATAACCTTTTTTTACCACTTGCCTCTCGCCATTAGATTGTAAGCTCTGACAAGCATGATCTCACAATTCTCTCATATTGAATTGTGTTGTAGCTCTATTTGCTCCCTGTATATTGTAAAACGCTATGCTAACTCTTATAAATCTTGTATAACAATAAAAATAATAATAGTGCAGCTAGTACAACTAAGAACCGGTAAGATGCAAATTGCTTTACTTTTGTTCTTGGGTTTAGATATACTTTAAGAGTACAGTGCACAAAGTGGTAGGAGGCTGTATTTGTAAAAGAAATATTGGAAATTACTTAAAAAAAGGACAACTAAGAACCGGTAAGATGCAAATTGCTTTACTTTTGTTCTTGGGTTTAGATATACTTTAAGAGTACAGTGCACAAATTGGTAGGAGGCTGTATTTGTAAAAGAAATATTGGAAATTACTTAAAAAAAGGACAAAATGAGTTTCACTTTTTAAATCTTATATTGCAACCTAAATGCTTCAAACGTCCTATCTTTAAATAAGGTTAACGTGTATTTAAGCCTAAAATCAAACAGTTAGGAACTCTGTAAGCTCAGAGAAATTTCTAAGCTCAAAGAATCTGGTTCTATGTGGTACTGACCACACTAAGTACAGGAGCACATTCATCTTACCGTGGTCAGTTTTGGTCTCTTCTTCTGACTTGGAAACTAGAGGACACTGTGTTGATGCACAACGTGCCTGTACTCCTACAATGGCGACACCAACGTCCAATCTTCCACAGTTTGAGTGATCACAACTCCTGGCCATCAAGTGTCATCTGCACTTTACCTAAATGAACAGCAGCCTTAAGCAGTACAGCAGGAGTAAAGTATCTAAATTACCTCAAGTGATAAAGATACGAACTAGGAATCCAAACGATATGTATTAGTTACAGGGAAATCGTACTAATAAGAAGATACATATGTTGAGAAGCTCTTGTTCTCACGTGTCACTTTCACTAAATGCTTACATGGATTTTCTGTTTGTGCTTCCTCTCTTGTAATTCAAAGCAGTTTTGAATGAGGGTTATTATGAGCAATTGACATCATCAAAGGGCATCCATAAAAGCCAGTGTGTTTATATCATGCTTGTGAGACATTTATTCAGGTACATCCTATGCTTTGAAAGATCTTCTCTTCAAGTTGATTAGATTACATATGCAGCTTTTTTCATTTCTTAAGAATCATTGATAAAAAAAAATTAAGAGAGTTAGGAAAATAGTTCAAATCATAAATCATGGAAATCAGTAGCAGGTTTACCTGAGCATTGTTGTTGTGTATTCTGGAAAGATCCCCTAGCCTTTTGCAATTGTTTTTGGTCTCGAAAAAGACTTTTAGAAAGTCTGCTGTACATTATGGGATCTGAACAAATCACTTTTCAGCTACATGTTGCATTTGTTATTGTGCTTTGAGCACAGGTTTTGAATAAGCTCTTGTCATGCTTATCACATACAAGTAAAAGCACAATAAACCTATGGCCTCATGTACACTAGCAGCAAATAGTCATAACAATGTGCAATATGCTAAACATAAAAGTGGTTCTAAAGGCAGGAGGGTTTTTTTTTTACCTTAATGCATTCTCTTCACTAAAGGATAAGTTCACCTTTTGTAACATGTTACATATTACATCCATATTCAGGGTGTAACATGTAACATGTTACAAAAGGATTGGCCCCGATCCCCTGTTTTGACAGCTAGCAGGGGATCTTCAACCCCCCGCTAGCTGTCAGAATTAAAAAAAAACATGGCCGTGCTCCGCCCACCCAGCCGTGTCAATCATTCCCAGTATTCTGTGAATGGAAAACCTACAAGTTCCAACAGGCTTTGCTGCTGTTGGCTTGTAGTTCTCAATGAACTACCACAGCGCTGTTGTGAATTGTGGTATCTTATTGATTCTCCCTGTCAGTATGTATCTGCTTGCTCGTACGAGGTATGAGCACACAGATACACTGACAGGTCTTCAGGAGTCCTGCATGGCACCAGCTTTGCAGGCTCCCAAAACAAAAATAATAAATACACATTTTTTTAACCTTCAAAAAATGTTCACTTATTATTTTTTGTTAAAAGGTTAACTTCTCCTTTAAGGTAAAAACCTCCTGCATGCAGCTCCCCTCTCCAACCCCCCCTATACTTACCTGAGCCTGATCTTGATCTAGCAATGTGCTCTCTCAGCTGTCTCCCTCCTCATTGGCTCAGAGACAGCCTTTGCCTCCCACTGCTGTCAATCACAACCAATGAAGAGGGAGCAGGGGGTGGGGTCGAGCCACACTCTGTGTGTCAATGGACACAGAGAGCTGGCTTGAGCTTGAGTACAAACGAGTGCCCCTATAGCAAGCAGCTTATTATTGAGTATTATTGGGTTTAATACAACTTTAACTGTGCACACCCAAAAACAATATTGAAGGTAAATTTAAACTATTTAAATCACCCTTTGCCATATTTAAATTTTCAGTCTTCTGGTATCATAATCTTTCACATGTAGTTGTAACAGTGCCTTGGAGTCTCACTCTTACTGCAGAGACAGTAGGATTCTTAGAACGACTTTCATTATCTGCAGTGTAAACTAACTGGATATTCCAGCAGGAAAAATAAGACCTTTGAGAAACGACTGTACCAACTCAAGCCAACCCGTTAATTCAAGTTCAGAGCCCCAAAAGGAAGCATTTGATTATTTAATCTGCCTGTCCACTCAAAAAGGAAATGTCAGTGGGTCATTTGATATCAGAAGAGGCATAGATGTGAGAGTAAAGTCTGACTTAATGAAAGACCTTTCTGTAGAAAGATCCTTCCGAACCGTGTACACTGTCTGAATGTGTGTGTTTATAATAATACAGTTGGATGGGAAGGCACAATAGTTCAGTTAGCTAGGTTGTTGTTTGGTGGCAGCCATTGTGGTATAAGTTCAGTGGTATCAGCTAAAATTATCCTGCTGAGGATAATATTATGTGTATGAGTAGCTTAACAGTGCCCACAAACTAGGCAATTGCAACAACAGATTAGGCCACTGGGAAGACTGGGCAGTAGCTAGTACCGTAGCTGCATTTGTCAGTAGATGAAGATATCATGTGACCACTTCTACTAGCTTTAGTGCACTCCCACCACTTTTTGAACCACTTGTTCCTTGGTAGTCTCTCAAGGCTGTTAATTGACCAGTTTTGATAAAATACATATATGCCAAGGAAAGCTTCTTCTGTTGCCAAATATACAGTATCTCACAGAAGTGAGTACACCCCTCAAATTTTTGTAAATATTTTATTATAACTTTTCATGTGACAACACTGAAGAAATTACACTTTGCTACAATGTAAAGTAGTGAGTGTACAGCTTGTATAACAGTGTACATTTGCTGTCTCCTCAAAATTACTCAACACACAGCCATTAATGTCTAAACCGCTGGCAACAAAAGTGAGTACACCCCTAAGTGAAAATGTCCAAATTGGGCCCAATAAGTCATTTTCCCTCCCCGGTGTCATGTGACTCATTAGTATTACAAGGTCTCAGCCAGGTGTGAATGGGAGCAGGTGTGTTAAATTTGGTGTTATTGCTCTCATTCTCTTATACTGGTCACTGGAAGTTCAACATGGCATCTCATGGCAAAGAACTCTCTGAGGATCTGAAAAAAAGTATTGTTGCTCTACATAAAGATGCCCTAGGCTATAAGAAGATTGCCAAGACCCTGAAACTGAGCTGCAGCATGGTGGCCAAGACCATACAGCGGTTTAACAGGACAGGTTCCACTCAGAACAGGCCTCGCCATGGTCTTCTAATGATGATGCACAAAAAATCCTGCAAACAGTTTGCTGAAGTCAAGCAGACTAAGGACATGGATTACTGGAACCATGTCCTGTGGTCTGATGAGACCAAGATAAAAGTATTTGGTTGAGATGGTGTCAAGCGTGTGTGGCAACAACCAGGTGAGGAGTACAAAGACAAGTGTGTCTTGCCTACAGTCTAGCATGGTGGTGGGCGTGTCATGGTCTGGGGCTGCATGAGTGCTGCCGGCACTAGGGAGCTACAGTTCATTGAGGGGGAACCATGAATGTCAATGTACTGTGACATATTGAAGCAGAGCATGATCCCCTCCCTTCGGAGACTGGGCCACAGGGCAGTATTCCAACATGATAACGACCCCAAAAACACCTCCAAGACAACCACTGCCTTGCTAAAGAATCTGAGGGAAGCTGAGGGTAAAGGTGATGGACTGGCCAAGCATGTCTCCAGACCTAAACCCTATTGAACATCTGTGGGGCATCCTAAAACAGAAGGTGGAAGAGCGCAAGGTCTCTAACATCCACCAGCTCCATGATGTCGTCATGGTGGAGTGGAAGAGGACTCTAGTGGCAACCTGTAAAGCTCTGGTGAACTCCATGCCCAAGAGGGTTAAGGCAGTGCTGGAAAATAATGATGGCCACACAAAATATTGACACTTTGGACCCAATATGGACATTATTACTTAGGTGTGTACTCACTTTTGTTGCCAGCGGTTTAGACATTAATGGCTGTGTGTTGAGTTATTTTGAGGGGACAGCAAGTTTACAACTGTTATACAAGCTGTACACTCACTACTTTACATTGTAGCAAAGTGTCATTTCTTCAGTGTTGTCACATGAAAAGATATAATAAAATATTTACAAAAATGTGAGGGGTGTACTCACTTCTGTGAGATACTGTACATAACTGCCAATGAATATAATAATTTGATAATATCTATAGAACACTGAACTCTGCTCAGCAGTGCCTTTTTTATTAGTAACAAAGTCTTTTTTATCATTTTAATTACCGTTTTCTAGATTTATAAAGAACAGCTGAACACACGGGTGGTTCTGGTCGCTGTAGAGACGTGGACAGATAAAGACCGCATAACAATTGGCCCTGACCCCCTGAAGATGTTACATGACTTCTCCAAGTACAGACAGAATTATATTAAACAACACGCTGATGCTGTACACCTTCTTTTGTATGTACCTAAAAATAATTTCATTTTTACAACTCAGTTTTGAAATTTGAATGTATTATTGTTTAGACGATGTTGTGAAGTTTATGACATCTACATCACTTCTATTTAATGCAATATATATGTGTTTGTTTCCTTAACATTAGGAATGGAAATTTCCATTACAAGAGGAGCAGTATGAGCTATTTTGGAGGAGTGTGCTCTATGTCTAGAGGTGTTGGCGTGAATGAGGTAATTATTTTATAGAACATGCAGAGGGTAATTTCTACTACTGCAACTGTAACATTCATCTGCTCTAGCACCATGTCTACCCACTTCCGGGTCTCACCTCTTACCTCTCATTATTGGCACTGTAGCCAATCTGGAAACAGCTCTTTGTGCTGGCTTAAATGGAAAAGCGAAGAATGGCTCAGCGGTCTAGCAATTAGTCACTATACTCATACTGAGCCCCCACAATTGTAGTATTCATTCCCGTGTACTTGTGCTTGTCCTAAGTCCTCTGTGTCCTTCATCCATTTTCTGCTGCCAGTATTCACAGTACTCCTGCTCCTCTTGTGCCCCAGTGACCTCAGTGTGCCTCTGTATACCCCATGACTCCTGTGCAACCCATAGGATCTTGTGTCATCCAGTGATGCCAGTGCTCCCCTGTGTAACATGTGACTCAAGTATAACCTAGAGCAGTGGTTCTCAACCTTTCTAACGCCGCGACCCCTTAATACAGTTCCTCATGTTGTGGTGACCCCCAACCATAAAATTATTTTCGTTGCTACTTCAGAACTGTAATTTTGCAGTGGGAGGAATAGTGCCCCATCATTGGTATCAGTGGGAGGACTAGCGCCCCATCATTGGTATCAGTGGGAGGAATAGCGTCCCATCGTTGGTATCAGTGGGAGGAATAGTGCCCCATCACTGATGTCAGTGGGAGGAATAGTGTCCCATCGTTGGTATCAGTGGGAGGAATAGTGTCCCGCCATTGGTGTCAGTGGGAGGAATAGTGCCCCATCATTGGTATCAGTGGGAGGAATAGTGCCCCATCATTGGTATCAGTGGGAGGACTAGCGCCCCATCACTGATGTCAGTGGGAGGAATAGTGTCCCATCGTTGGTATCAGTGGGAGGAATAGTGCCCCATCGTTGGTGTCAGTGGGAGGAATAGTGCCCCATCGTTGGTGTCAGTGGGAGGAATAGTGCCCCATCGTTGGTATCAGTGGGGGGGAGGAATAGTGCCTATCATTGGTGTCAGTGGGGGGGGAGGAATAGTGCCCCATCGTTGGTGTCAGTGGGGGGAGGAATAGTGCCCCATCGTTGGTGTCAGTGGGGGGAGGAATAGTGCCCCATCGTTGGTGTCAGTGGGGGGAGGAATAGTGCCCCATCGTTGGTGTCAGTGGGGGGAGGAATAGTGCCCCATCGTTGGTGTCAGTGGGGGGAGGAATAGTGCCCCATCGTTGGTGTCAGTGGGGGGAGGAATAGTGCCCCATCGTTGGTGTCAGTGGGGGGGGGAGGAATAGTGCCTCATCGTTGGTGTCAGTGGGGGGAGGAATAGTGCCCCATCGTTGGTGTCAGTGGGGGGAGGAATAGTGCCCCATCGTTGGTGTCAGTGGGGGGAGGAATAGTGCCCCAACGTTGGTGTCAGTGGGGGGAGGAATAGTGCCCCATCGTTGGTGTCAGTGGGGGGAGGAATAGTGCCCCATCGTTGGTGTCAGTGGGGGGAGGAATAGTGCCCCATCGTTGGTGTCAGTGGGGGGAGGAATAGTGCCCCATCGTTGGTGTCAGTGGGAGGAATAGTGCCCCATCGTTGGTGTCAGTGGGAGGAATAGTGCCCCATCGTTGGTGTCAGTGGGAGGAATAGTGCCCCATCGTTGGTGTCAGTGGGAGGAATAGTGCCCCATCGTTGGTGTCAGTGGGGGGAGGAATAGTGCCTATCATTGGTGTCAGTGGGGGGAGGAATAGTGCCCCATCGTTGGTGTCAGTGGGGGGAGCAATAGTGCCCCATCGTTGGTATTAGTGACACAAATGATGGGGCACTATTCCTCCCACTGACACCAATGATACTTACCTTGCTGACCCCTGCTCCAGCCTGGGCTCGCTCTCTCCCTCTCCCATCTACAGCCTGCAGAAGCAAAATTTGCACTTACCTGTCAGCTGTCTTCCTTCTCTGGCCTCTCTCCTCTTCACTCGGTCCTGCAGCTCCCTCGATCTTCTTCGATCTGCGCGCTCTGCCGCTCTGCTCCTCCTCTCCAAGCTCCACCTCCTCGCCGGTGATTGGCCGCCTGTGTGCCTCTCCTGAGCTACAGTTCCGGTGGCCAATCAGCGGCGAGGAGGCGGAGCTGTTGAGTGATCCCGGAGGTGTGGCCAGGTTACAGGGGCAGCATATCATCCCGCCCACAGATCGCGAGACAGAGCAGCGGTGTCTCGGTTCCTAAGACCATCGGAAATATGTGTTTTCCGATGGTCTTAGGCGACCCCTGGGAAATGGTCGTTCGACCCCCAAAGGGGTCGCGACCCCCAGGTTGAGAATCGCTGACCTAGAGCATCCTGTGACATCCAGGAACACCACTCTGCCCCTGTGAGTCCCATAACTCCAGTGCACCACAGAGAATCCAGTGTCATCTAGTGAATTTTATCAGGGCCCTGTGTCTTCACACAACCTTCAAAATGCTTCTGCATAATCTAAGCAGTCCTTCTCTCAGTGAATATGGATCTCTCTCAGTGGTAATAACTCTAGCAGTGTCTGTTATGGAATGCTGTATATGTATTCCCATAAACAACAACTATACCCTCTTGCAGCAGTGTTTAATAAACCTTTCTCTACTGAAAAAGCTATGTTAATAATAAAACTATCCAAAAGGCTCCGTTGACATTAGTGTCAGGGCTATGGACAGGGTTCTCTGACTCCCAAGGCAAAAATGACAAAGTGTGCTCCCCCAACACAGTACCTATGGTGAGAGCCTTTCCTGCTCCTACATTGACCTGTCCCTGGTTGATAGAAAAAGCAACTGGGCCAATACTATCCTAAATATACCGCTCCAGACCTAATACCCTCAAACCCTATAACCCACCTTATCTTATCTTGCCTTCTGTATCTAAACCCCTTAACTTTCACAATACATCTTCTATATCTAAACACCCCAACTCCTATATCCCTTTTTTACAATATGTCCTCACTTCTTCAGTAGATGTGATTTTGCTGAACACATGCTCAAGTTGATAATATTGAGAGAGCTTATGAATATGAAAAATGATCTTGGAGTGGCTGCTATGGGCCATAATATTTTGCAAAACATCATTGCTGTATACATCTGAGCCAAAAAATGGTCACCAGGGTGTGGCTATATCAGAATAGCTGGCCAGAATGGTAGCATTTAATTGAAGAAATTAAGATATGTAGAAAGCATAGGTCCTGGTTATCTATTCCATGTGTGCAACAAAATCATTATTATTGTTATTATTAGGATAGGTCACAGTAGTAATAGGAGTAGTCGTAGTCCTGATAGTAGTAGTGTTAATAATAACAATGGGAGTGACATTTGTATGCTTGTTAAAAAAATATTAGCGGCTGGCTATTGCCTTGTTATAGAGATTGTATTTGCAGTAGTCTCTATACTTCCTATATTTACCTGAAACTTCAATGACAAGATTTCCTCGCCACAGTTCTTCTCCCCACCTTTTTCCAGACAGCCATAAAATACCATCTGGCACCTGGACTCTCTAGTTATCAATCTACAGTATATTAGTGATAAACTGTTCAATTTTACTAGAGCATTTTACCATCATTTGCCTTTATAAAGGCTGCGTAGTAGGGCAGAACTTGGAATTATGGTGGAAATATCTTAACATTAAACTCCATGACAATTATAAAAAGCCAGCATGGGAAGCAGCTTGCCAAGAATATCAGAAAGCTGAAATAATTATGTTTGGCTAGAACTGAATTTAAAATTGTATTGTAGCAAAATAATTTGTTCTACCTTATGTGTTTTTTTCCCGCAGTATGGTTTCCTGATGGCCATGGCACAGCAGCTGGCACAAAGTTTAGCGCAAAATCTTGGTATTCAGTGGGAACCAGCTTCTCGAAAGCTGAAACCAAGTAAGTATGAGATTGCAATGCAGAGGCATAAGTATGAATCATGGTGTCCCATAGAGCCAAAGTTTTGATGTTGATTCATTGAGAAAATGCAAAGCATTCTGTGAATAGTGCTGTGACTGATTAAAAAAACCTGGAAATATGAAAAAGAACAAAAAAATTAGAGCTGTTGTTCACAGCAACCAACCAGAATTCAATTTTTCATTTGTTAATAAGCCTTGTGATATACTACACTGGTCTGTAATATGTTAATTGTGTTTAAATTACTGTGGATTAACATATTGGATTAACAAGCAGATTTATTCTCCAAATATGGAAAGGTTTCTTCACAGTAAGAACTGTGAAAATATGCAATAGACTCCTTCAAGAGTTGGTTCTGGCCAGCTAAGTAGATTGCTTTAAAAAAGTCCTGGGTTCTTTCCTAGATACACATAATATAACTGGATACTAACATTTATAGGTAAAGTTGATCCAGGGAATATCCGATTGCCTCTCGGGGGATCAGGAAGGATTTTTTTTCCCCTGCAGGAGCAAATTAGCTCATGCTTTGCTGGGGTTTTTGCCTTCCTCTGGATCAACTGTGGGTATAGGATTATAACATTTTTTTTGTATGGTTGAACTAGATGGACTTTTGTCTTTTTTCAGCCAGACTAACTATGTAACTATGTAAATATATTTTTTTAAAAATGTGAAATCCTGATGGTTTTCATTGTCCTTCTAGAAGAATGTGACTGTGCAGAAAACTTTGGCGGATGCATTATGGAAGAAACAGGGTGGGTATACCATTAGGCTTTCCTAGGATTTGCGCTAAGGGCCAGTTCACACCAGAACTCAGCTTGGGAAAGGCGCTTTCCGTGCAAGTTTCCTGCACCGCAGTCAAAACACCCTGCCTTTGCAATCTGCTGTGGGTGCCAATACATTGTTAACAGCACCCCAGACAGAGATCGCAAACGCAGTACTTTTGCCTGCACCAGATCACATGGCACTGCAGTACCATGTCATTTTTGTGCAGTGCGTTTTTGAAAAGTAGTGCATGGACTACTTTTTGTGTGATCCGATGTGATTTGCAGCTTATTCAAATGAATAGGCTGCAAAATTGCACCATGTTGAAACGCACAGGAAATGCACAGAAATTTGGACTGCATTCCTGTGCTATTCAGGTGTGAACCAGCTGATAAAGTTTCATTTATTGTGCATTGTAATGCATGTAGCTTAAAATGTACATTGAGTGAATGCCTTTTAACACATAAGAGGTTTTTTTTTAATTTGAAAGTATAATTACTTCCTGACATTTCTCTTACTTGTTGAGAAGAAATCTGAACCTCAAAGGGAGTGCAAAGTTTCTAACAAGTTGGACAATTCATAGACTTAAGTTGTGGAAAGGGCAGTGACACATAGTGATTGTGCAGCACTGAAATGCAGAAAGCAGAACCTGCATATGTACTGAACAAATATGGCAGTCCCCATGTATCTATATAATTACAAGTCATCCATAGAAATAAGGTTTTTCATCTATAACAAGGTATAGATATGATTATATGTATCACGGTGATTTCTTGTATATGTGTATCTAAAAAAAATGAAACTGCTATACATTTCCATTAATGAAATCTTCAGATTTTCCACTTGTGGCAAGACAGCAGAGCATACCCTCCGGAAACTCTCAGACATGTACTGCATGATTTTTATAGGAATAAAAGGTGATTTATCCAATAGTTACTGTTCTGCAGTTTCTTTTATGGAACAGGTTTACAAAAAAAATGTATTTCATATCTCTCACATTTGAGTTATATCTCTGTGAACTGGATCTATTTTTTAATTTTCATAATTGTGACTATTTTGTGCTGATATACTTTACTGTTCATGTTTTCAGAGTGTACCATTCACGGAGATTTTCTAAATGCAGTATTGCTGAGTTCAAGGAATTTCTTTCACGAGGAGGGGGTTCATGTCTATTTAATAGGCCAACAAAGGTACAGTTCCGCATTGAACTAAAAAAAAAAAACATTACCAGTCACATAGAAAGTTTTTTTTTACTTTTTCAAGTCTCAGATTTCAAGGCTATTGAAATAAAATATGTTTAGGAGATATGACAAACATGATGACAAATACAACCTTGTTTTCAAACAAATAATTTATTACAGGATACTTCTGTTGATTGTCGTTCATCACGAGACACATGCAGTTAGTTTAATTGTAAATCGAAGTGCTGATGAAATTTGTGTTATTCCGAATCACAATAGTAACAAATTTCAACTAACTCAATAAATTATAATGAAAACAAAGGAATCAGTCGTTATCATTTCATTTGGAAGACATGATGCAATAGTTTGGGCCTTTTGTTAATGATCCGTAAATAACATAATGGCATAAAAAAATTATCCAAATTGATTTGAATCCATTCATTTTTATTCTATTGAGTGTAGTAGGAATATTCTAATAAGCTTCTTTTTGACCATTAATTTAATTTGTATGTGCGCCGCCCAACAAACAAAGTCAGTTTGGAATGGGGAAACAAATTCAACTTAAAAGCATAATAAATGAATACATATTAATTACATTAAAATGAACATAGCCAATCTGCCGAAATAACAAAAGAATAACAGAACTTTGGAACAACAATATATACTCACCTGAAATAACAAAACATTTCAAAATTGAATCATTCTAACAACGATTATGACAAAACAAAATGATTTACATAACAAATGAAAACAAAACAAATATTTCCACTGTGCACATCTCTATTCATTGCATTCTATACTGATGTGCACTGCTCAAAAAAAAAAAAAAGGAAAACTTTTTAATCAGAGTATAGCATCAAGTCAAATAAACTTCTGGGATATTGATCTGGTCAGTTAAGTAGCAGAGCGGCGGTTGTTAATCAGTTTCAGCTGCTTTGGTGTTATTGAAATTAACAACAGGTGCACTAGATGGGCAACAGTGAGATGACCCCCAAAACAGGAATGGTTTTACAGGTGGTGGCCACGGACATTTTTTTCCTACTCATCTTTTCTGACTGTTTTTCACTAGTTTTGCATTTGGCTAGGTTCAGTGTCACTATTAGTAGCACAGGGCGATACCTGGACCCTACAGAGGTTGCACAGGCAGTCCAACTCCTCCAGGGTGGCACATCAATACTTACCATTGCCAGAAGGTTTGCTGTGTCTCCCAGCACTACTACTCACAGTCTAAAGAGCATGGAGGAGATTCCAGGAGACAGGCAGTTACTCTAGGAGAGCTGGACAGGGCTGTATACCTGGTATCTGTTTCTTTGTGTAATGCAGAACAGGATGAGCACTGCCAGAGCCCTACAAAATGACCTCCAGCAGGCCACTGGTGTGAATATCTCTGACCAAACAATCAGAAACAGACTTCATGAGGGTGGCCTGAGGGCCCAACGTCCTCTAGTGGGCCCTGTGCTCACTGCCTGGCACCATAGAGCTTGATTGGCATTTTCCACTGAACACCAGAATTGGCAGGTCCTCCACTGGCGCCCTGTGCTTTTACACAGATGAGAGCAGGTTCACCCTGAGCACATGTGACAGACGCGAAAGGGTCTGGAGAAGCCGTGGAGAACATTATGCTGCCTGTAACATCTTTCAGCATGACCGTTTTTGGTGGTAGGTCAGTGATGGTCTGGGGAGGCATTTCCATGGCGGGACACGCAGACCTCTACAGGCTAGACAATGGCACCCTGATTGTCATTAGGTATCGGGATGAAATCCTTGGACCCATTGTCAGACCCTATACTGGTGCAGTGGGTCCTGGGTTCCTCCTGGTGCATGAAAATGCCTGCCCGGCCTCATGTGGCGAGAGTATGCAGGCAGTTCCTGGAGGATGAAGGAATTGATACCATTGAATGGCCTGACCGAAATCCAATAGAACATCTCTGGGATATCATATTTCAGTCCTTCCAACGCCAGCAGGTTGCACCTCAGACTGCCCAGGAGCTCAGTGATGCCCTGGTCCAGAACTAGAAGGAAATACCCCAGGATACCATTTGTCGTCTCATTGGGAGCATGTCTCAACATTGTCATGCATGCATACAAGCACATAGGGGCCATACAAGTTACTGAGTACCATTTTGAGTTGCTCCAATTAAACTTTGGGAAATTGGACTACATCAGCAAATGCTGCATAATTTTCTCACTTTGATCTTTGGGATTTCTTTGAATTCAGTCCTCTGTAGGTTGATAATTTTCATTTCCATCAAACGATGCAGCATCCTTACATTCCTAACACATTACCCAGTCCATATCAGTATAGATATCCAGTATGAGATTTTTCCCCATTGAGATCTGATGTGTTTTCAAAGTGTTCTTTTAATTTGTTTGAGCAGTGTATTTATCTCACTTATGACTTGACTTGCCCTGCCCCTGCTGTTGAACACTCTGTTTTTTTTCCACTGCCTATTTCTCAATAAAATCAATTCTTGAAATATAATCTTATCGGGCTTACTTAGATGAAGATAGTGAAAGAAATTATTATAGTTGTAGTACGATAGCATGCATCTTTTCACCCAATGTTTATTACTATGCATGTACAGCCCAACATTCTGGACCCCTGGTGCCAAATCTGTGACTTAAGGGCCACGTGCAGCCCTTTGGTGCTTGTTGTGTGGCTTGTGGTCCCATCAGTGTGTAGTGGGTGTGGGAGCATTGATTTGTAAAGGGATAATTGAAGTGATCTTTCTGTCTTTCCTCATGTAACACATCTCTAGTCTTGTACTGTCTTCTACAGAATGTCTGTATTCTACAACCAAACTTGTCTCTGACCTTTATTTTATATGGTACAGGTGAAACTCAAAAAATTAGAATATCGTGCAAAAGTTAATTTACTTCAGTAATGCAACTTAAAAGGTAAAACTAATATATGAGATAGACTCATTACATGCAAAGCAAGATAGTTCAAACCATGATTTGTCATAATTGTGATGATTATGGCTTACAGCTCATGAAAACCCCAAATCCACAATCTCAGAAAATTAGAATACTGTGAAAAGGTGCAATATTCTAGGCTCAAAGTGTCCCACTCTAATCAGCTAATTAAGCCATAAGACCTGCAAAGGGTTCCTGAGCCTTTAAATGGTCTCAGTCTGGTTCAGTAGGAATCACAATCATGGGAAAGACTGCTGACCTGACAGTTGTGCAGAAAACCATCATTAACACCATCCATAAGGAGGGAAAAGGTAATTGCAAAAGAAGTTGGATGTTCCCAAAGTGCTGTATCAAAGCACATTAACAGAAAGTTATCTGGAAGGGAAACGTGTGGAAGAAAAAGGTTCACAAGAAGCAGGGATGACCGCAGCCTGGAGAGGATTGTCAGGAAAAGGCCATTCCAAAGTGTTGGGGACTTTCACAAGGAGTGGACTGAGGCTGGAGTCAGTGCATCAAGAGCCACCACACACAGATGGATCCTGGATATGGGCTTCAAATGTCGTATTCCTCTTGTCAAGCCACTCCTGAACAACAAACAATGTCAGAAGCGTCTTACCTGGGCTAAAGAAAAACAGACCTGGTCTGTTGCTCAGTGGTCCAAAGTCCTCTTTTCTGATGAGAGCAACTTTTGCATCTCATTTGGAAACCAAGGACCCAAAGTATGGAGGAAGAATGGAGAGGCACACACTGCAAGATGCTTGAAGTCCAGTGTGAAGTTTCCACAGTCTGTGTTGATTTGGGGAGCCATGTCATCTGCTGGTGTTGGCCCACTGTGCTTCATTAAACCCAGGGTCAATGCAGCTGTCTACCAGGAGATTTTAGAGTACTTCATGCTTCCTTCCGCCGACAAGCTTTATGGGGATGCTAACTTCATTTTCCAGCAGGACTTGTCACCTGCACACACTGCCAAAAGCACCAAAACCTGGTTCAATGACCATGGGATTACTGTGCTTGATTGGCCAGCAAACTCGCCTGACCTGAACCCCATAGAGAATCTATGGGGCATTGCCAAGAGAAAGATGAGAGACATGAGACCGAACAATGCAGAACAGCTGCAGGCCGCTACTGAAGCATCCTGGTCTTCCATAACACCTCAGCAGTGCCACAGGCTGATAGCTTCCATGCCACACCGCATTGAGGCAGTAATTGATGCAAAAGGGGCCCAAACCAAGTACTGAGTACATATGCATGCTTATACTTTTCAGAGGTCCAACATTGTTCTATGTACAATCCTTGTTTTATTGATTGCATGTAATATTCTAATTTTCTGAGATTGTGAATTTGGAGGTTTTCATGAGCTGTAAGCCATAATCATCACAATTATGACAAATCACGGCTTGAACTATCTTGCTTTGCATGTAATGAGTCTATCTCATTTATTAGTTTCACCTTTTAAGTTACATTACTGAAATAAATGAACTTTTGCACGATATTCTAATTTTTCGAGTTTTACCTGTATGTATGCAGTCTCTGACAGTACTCTTGAACGTAAAACATAGTGATTATTATTATTATTAATATTATTATTTGTGGTGTCGGGAATCTGTATCTCGCAAGTTGACAACTGATCAGGAAAAATCCTTTAGCCTGATAGAGAGCTCAAATATTTCTAACAAATCACTTCATGGTGATAGACATTCACAGTTTCTGCCTGTTTACTTCTAATTTAAAGTGTTCTATTCTTAACCCATATATATATGTGAAGCCTTTGAAGTCATCTACTCATACAGGTCCATTGTACAATGCCAAGAGAGCAGCCCAACATTACTTCTTAGACTGGAGTAAGACCAGTGCTTCTCAAAGAGAGCCATTATATTCTGCGAGTGTGCTGCAATTCCATGTGTGTGAGATGCAATAACTTTTACGACCTAACACTGGACTTTTTTGTATAAATAAAAATGCATGAAATAAATCGATAAAAGACAGATTTTTTTTAACTAAAATTATTATATTTTTCCCAGCATGCTATATAAAAAAATAACAATACTTTTTATAATTTAGGTACAAAATAAAAATCTGTACATTTTTGTAAATGCTTCTATTGCAATGTAAACAGATCTGCATACTTACTGCTGAAGCTGATATATGACTTATGGATTCACTTTATTATTTGGTATTATTTTTTTCTCATGTTGTACATACAGCATCTATTAGAATTACAGATGAGTAAGGCTTTAGATTTACCAAAACCACATAATATGAGGTCAAACCTAAACACTTTCAATTTGTATGTAGTCAGGCAGGCCCTTGTACTACATAGTTGAAGGTAAATCTAAAGGAAATTAAACAAGAAAATTGTATAATGTATGACCAGCTTAAAGTTGCACATAAATATTGTAATACAGCTTCCTGATTGGCTGTTTTTTTGCTGGATGACATAATGACACTGGAGCACCTCCAGATGGCACCAGTTGAGGCTCCTTGGTAGAAATGCTGATTGGGTAGTTTGGAAAGCCTTATCTATCAGTTATTGGTATTTCACTGATACGCTAGCAGTGTCTTCAGAATGCCTTTTCCTCCCTGCTTTGTAGGCCACCAGGCTTAGATGAAAATGGCTGCCTTTAAAAAAAAAATTGGACAGGTAAACACGGACAACTAGAAGTGCTTCAATAAAGGCTTTATTTATTTTGTGACAAGGTCTCCTAAATCAATAGTCTTTTTGCAGACTAAGGCTGACCATTCACTCTACAATCTCTGATTGTACAATTTCCTTTAGATCTACTATCAACTGTGTGGCGCAAGTGTGCCTGCTGTGGTATATGCATTGTTTAGGTTGATCCTCGTATGACATCATTTTGGTAAATCTAAAGGAGATTGCAAAGTGGTTGTATAAGCAGGTTGTAATGTATATGGCCAGCGTTAGTAATGGTGGTATTTTCATTAGCTGCAACCAGTGTAAAATAAACCAATTGAACCCATGTGTAAGATTTTGCTTTGTTAACATTGCAAGGAGTGAATTTAGTTTTTCTCTTTACTACTTTGGCAGCTGTTTGAAGTGACAGAGTGCGGCAATGGTTATGTGGAACCAGGAGAAGAGTGTGACTGTGGTTCACGAACAGTAAGTCTCCAGCAGTAAGGACAATTTGCAGTGCTAGCTAGCAATTCAGTAATGAAAACAAAAAAAGATGGTATCTAGTCTGATTTAAAAAAAGTAGTTGTAAACCCTTACATTTACCCATTGAAGTGATTAGCCTCAAGTGGTATGCAGAGATGAAACAAATCCTCCTACATAAGTTGTACCTCTTTACCTGCAGCCCTGTCGTCCTTGTAAAACACACGGATTGAAGTCTTTTTCTCAGCTCCAGCAGGCAGGGGTCGGGGATCTGACATCACACTTTGTACAGTGTAGAGCAGGGAGCTGAGTGTAATCTTAGACTTGAGATCAGGGAAAGGACACACCTCCCTTTACACAGTCCCATAGAGAAACATGCACATCTGAGTTTTTCAGTCACTTTTTGTGTACACCCTCTATGGGCCAGAGCAATTTTTACACTTCTGCTCTGGGCCTTTCTTTTATTAATATTGGCCTGCAAAAATAATTTTTCTCTATGTGATCCACAGACAAAAAAAATCGCACACACACATACTTCTTTTTAATGTAATCAGTGTTAAAAATTGTTACCATAAATAAAAAGTATAAATTGTACATTGTATTCTATCATTTGTCCTGTTTAAAATTTAAAAATAAATTTTAGTTCAAAGCAGTGCAAAGCTATTTACAAATACACTAAGAACGTTTTTAAATTTTTCACTTTTTTTAATGGGACATTAAAAAAAAATTAATAAACAAAATAAAAAGTATAAGTAGTAATGGTTAGAAAAATAGAAATAAAAAAAATCAGTAAAAAAATAAAAATAATACATTAATTAAGAAATAAATAATATTAATAATAATAGTTAAGGTGAGAAAGGGAAGAATAAGTTAATTAGGGCTAATTAGAGTAAACTAAAAGTTAAAGTGGAACTTCACCTAAAAAAGGGAAGTTGTGCTTATCCACCTCCCGCTCTTCTCTCTTTTTGGAAACTTTTTTTGGGGGGGGATACCTAAACTGGTTTTTTTGGGCTAGGGGGTCCCCCCCTCTCTTTCCACAACAGATACGTCACGTGTCTCAAGAGGCTGCAGGACCATTTACAGAGAGCAGCATGATTTCTGCATGTACAGTGGGGAGCCAGCTGTGAAGTAAAAGGGAATTACATCCGGCTTCCCATAGTCAGCAAGGTGGTACTCGGGACACAAGGACTGGTGAAGAACAGACTTGGGTGAGGACAGCCCTGGGTCCCAAGACAGTGTCTTTTTAAAAAAACGTCAGCAGCCACAGTATTTGTAGCTGCTGACTTTTACATTTTTTCAACCTGACGGAAGAGCCTATTTATTAAGGTGTAGAAGAGGAACTCGTTTTATTTTAGAAAATATATTTTTGGAACAGGAAATCAAGAAGAGAATTGTTATCAAAATGTCAGCAAAAAAAGCCATCTTCTGTCAATCACAAGGGAGGCAGACCTTATGGGGAACTCTGAGAGAATATCTGTCCATCAAGTCTGCTTGTGATTTATTCCATAGCTGCTTCTCAGTGGCTTTGGTATACGCTAACAGCCATTTACTTAAAAAGAAAGAATATGAGTATTAAAAAGTGCTGATTAAATACCCTCTCAAGTTAAAAGGAGCTCTGGGAATAAAATGATCATGGATACCTGGTTAGCAAGGTAATTCTGAGCAAATCCTTGCATCCTTATCGATCCCGGACGTTTTGGGGACTATGGTCTCTCTAAAAATGGCCGCTGGTCTCCATAAAAATGGCCACGGGTCTCCGGGAAAATGGCCACCAGCATATCTCTCTATAGGAGTTCCAGAAAGACAATAGTAATAGGGAGGACTCTTGAAAAATGGCCGCTGGTCTTCGGGAAAATGGCCGATGGCAGGGATTTTTCCATTAGATTAATATGAGGACAGTATAAATAGCACGGTTTGTCACCACGGCCGTTGTTCCTGATGAAGTAATGTGATTAGTGACGCAACTAGTTGGACGAGAGACGGAGACATGGTGACATCACTTCCGGAGGAAGGGCCATCTTGATACACCCATAGGAGTACACCCAGGAGTTCCTATGAGGATCTCTGAGCATTTATAGTATTCTTTTATATCAATAAATGAAACAATATCACATGATGGAAGGATTCTTCTTCTTGTTTTATAAACATCGATGAGGAAGCTGAGGTACAAATAGATCATATGAAAACCATCCGGATATCAGGAGAGGTGATACCTTTAAGTTCTGAAGGGGGATACCACCACTGTTTGTAATACCGAATCTGACATGGAGGATTGAGCGGTTGGCTGTGCTTAATAGCAAAAAAGCAGTTTGACCCTGCGTGGTCGCTGCATGAAGGTGAGGAGGCAATCTTACTGGTGAAGGATTACACTTTGTGTTCACCTGCCAGATTTATATTGTTCGCTGGAGGTTTCTATATATCCAGCCATATTGAAGATTACACACATGGATGATTTGTTTATTGTTTATTAATAATTGGTGGCACATGTTTTTGTGGACTTTGTTATAAATGTAAGTTATGTGTTTATCATAGAGTGTCACTGGATTTTCATTTGTGGATTCACTCAATATTTTTTTTTTCCTGCTATTTATATAACAGTATAGTCCCAAGTTTAGGGACGAGAGCACGGCAATTTTTACTTTGGTACATGTGGGCACTTGTTGAGTGGTGGTTGCACATTTATGTTGAAGGATTTGTTATAGTCCTTGTAGATTGTCCTATAGTCAGGGTCCATTTATCCTGACTGTCCTATTGTGTGTTTTATAGGCACAATAGTGCTATTAGTCTATTTCCACTGCACCTTTGGGCATTTATTTATGCCAAGTGTTTTATCACATGTGGTTTAATACATGTTTGTGATTTCACCCTGTTTAGGGACACAAGTGGGTTTATATATTGTGTTTTTATGCGTTTTACACATTTTAATTTTATTTCATATGGCTTATCAAACATCACTGCATAAGATTGTATAATAATATGAAGAATTGAGTTTGGGATAATTACACATGGGAGGATTCACTAGGGATGTAATTGAAACCTCATTTTTAATTTATTTATATAAGTATAAGTGTGGGAGCGCAGCACCAATTTTGTTATAACAGCCATTCGCTGTCAATCATAGGGCAGGCTGACCTGGGTCTGGGCGAATACTATAGTTGCTTTTCAGTCCAATAGCAGTCAACTGACATCCACTGACAATCACAAGGCACGTGGACTTGATGGGGAACTAGCCCCTCAACATCCCAAAGAGGCTCTGTCCAAATTCAGACCTGAATCATTGGTTGCAAGAAAGCTAATGACCAGCATCCTAGCAATCAATAAAGAAAGTATGCAAACCACATAATATAGTTCTAACACAAAAGCACCCCCTCCTTATTACTCTGGCCTGTATGTGTACCAACTTTGAGTTGGTCTTAATTACCTCCAGTCTTGTTACCTATGAACTGCAAGTAATTCTTTTTTGAATTTGGTGCAGTAATGCAAAGAGGAACTACATGAATCTCTTACAAGTTGGAACAGTTACTGAAAAAGTCCCAAGGCTTTCATGAATTTGGAGTAGGATATTTTAAAGGGACTAGTGTTTCACCTGCTTTATTACATACTGTAAATGCCTTATTTCACTTTGTTGTTAAAATGTCAATGCCTACTGCTTGTGAAGGTGGATGGGAAGCTGCTTAACACCTACATATAACAATATTCTACCTATCTTTTTCATAGACAAAACATTTTACCCAGGATTGTATTGGAGACTGCTGCAAGAAATGTTCTTTGTCTAATGGAGCCCAGTGCAGTGATGGACCATGCTGCAACACATCTTGTCTGGTAAGTATTAACTAATGTTATTGTCTTTTGTTTTTATAATGGCTCTGATTCTGATTCTGTAATTCTTTTAGAAAAAATAGAAAAAAGTGCTTGAATGTACTTTTGGAGGCAGCATTCTGTTTGCTTTACAGTTACAGATAGATTTTACATGTATAGACTGCCAGGGAGGGGAGATGGCTTCATGTGTTCTGAACTATAGTGAATCTTCTGACTCCTCTCAACTTAACTGTATCCCATTCTCCCTCTTGCTGAATTAACCACAGAGGTGGCCAGTACAGGCAAAAAAAATTGTAGAAAAGTCATTTGCAATGTTACTTCCAATTCTGCTGTTCTGGTAGGTGACACATAAGCTTCATTAGGGTTATACAGTCCTGTCTGTTCGGTGTCTTCTGTAACAGATGTGTCATATATCATACTGTACATGTAGCAAGATCAAAAATCACCAATAACATTTGCAATTAATGTGCCTAACATCAAACAGGTCTTAGCCACAGGCATAATGCTTAGACTAATGATACATTTAGAGGCCTTTGATTATGTGTCAATGTAAGGACATTTTCGGCTTGTACTCATCACTATACATGATGATGATAGATTTATATTACCATAATATTCACACCCTTTTGGTCAGGTACTTTTTGTCATCACATAAATTTTTAAATCTCTCTGTTCCACCTATCACTGAAACGTCCTGATCAAAGGGAAGCATACAGGAACCGATCTGTGTGGTCTCTGCTGCTTTAAAAGCCAATGACTGACCAGATGTATAAGAATAAGATCAGGGCTATAATTATGCTATGGTTAGAACTAGGTTTAAGTCAAGGTTTACTGACTATATCTTGGGGGGTCAAAAAGGCTTCATGTTTTTAGTTTTTGTTAATTTTTCTCATAATAATGTTCAAATTTAAATGAATTAAATGCCTATGTGTGATGAATAAATGATCAGGGCTATAATTAGGCTAGGGTTAAGGCTAAACTCTTGTCTGTATAAAGTTTAAAAACATTGTTTTCAGGAGCATTAGAAAAAAATATTTTAGCTTGTGAAATTTACCACCAAAATATTTTCAAGATGACTGGCATGGAAATCAAAAATCTTGAATTTGACAGAAACCCCAAAGAAACCCAAAATATGCCAAAAAGAGTGCACTATTCATAAGGCTTGAGGACACCATGAAAATTCATAGGGAATAATAGGGAAATTGTGGGCTAAATTGCTGAGTCTGGTGACCTATAACTGGAAGCAGCAGATCAAAGATGGCAGCACAGTGGCTTAAAGGTTAGCACTTCCACCTAGCAGCTCTAGGATCATCATCAGTTCAAATCCCAACCATGGCACTACCTGCATAGAGCTTGCATGTTCTCCATGTGCCTGCGTGGGTTTCCTCTTACAATTCAAAGACATGCTGGTAGGTTAATTGACTCCTGTTTAACCCGGCCCTAGTCTGTGTATGTATGATTGTGAGTTAAGGACCTTAGATTGTAAGCTCCCTGAGGGCAGGGACTGATGTGAATGTACAACAAACATGTAATGTAGCGCTATAGAAGTACCTTCTAATAAATAAGTATCTTGTTATTTGGTGCACTAATGTAGGAATTTCTGAAACTAGTTTACGATGAGTTTTGGAATATGACTTTAAGACTGAAGTCTACTAAGCAGGAAATACTGTCTATATTATCTGTTACCTTTGCAGTTTTTACCTCGTGAGTATGAGTGTCGCAATGCAGTGAACGATTGTGACATCACAGAGCAATGCACAGGAGACTCCGGCCAGGTACTGTAATTTTAACTTCCCATATTGTATTTTTGCTTTGCCTTTCTATGCTTTTATAACAACATTTTTATTAGTATAGAAAGCATACTTTCTGTAACCCTTAGTTTACATAATACCTGGTGATATGTACAGCTTTGCCACCCACTATGAATTCTTACCCTAACACACCGTTCAACTGTTTCAGTGATCATACAAGCCTCCCAACATAAGCTGGCCATATGCTAGTAGATTTTCACACCAATGTTCATATAAGTATCTGTTCAAACACTAGTATAAAAACTCTTAGTACATTCAATGATATGACAAATGTAATCTGAAAGTATCTCTAAATTTTGTTTGCTTTTATGCACTACTGTTTTTGACCATCCTTGGGGAAGATGCCCACCCACAGCATTGATGGATTACTATGCTGCTCTTATTGTTATTGATGCAATGTCAGAAGCTATGATTCTGGTGCCTTATTTCTTTGTAGCTTTTATAAATTTTCAAAATAAACAATTTATGGTACAAAAAAAAAGTTGTTTGCTTTTAACATTCAATTTTGGGATAATTGTTATTTCCTGAATTAAGCCCCCCCACGACTATATGTTTGTTATGTGCTATCATTCACAAGCATTGCTAATAGTAATTTTAATGAAAACAATATTTGTTTAACATTTCTAGTTGTTTCTTTGGAACAGATTTTTGGATAGAATTATATGGGCAGCTTCTCTTTCTTAGAATAGATAGCTTATTTGAGGGACTTGTTTGAGGAAACTCACTTGAGGAACAGCGGGGGTAGATTTACTAAAACTGGCACACTTAGAATCTGGTGCAGCTGTGCATGGTAGTCAATCAACTTCTAACTTCAGATTGATCAGTTAAACGTTGGCAATAAAACCTGGAAGCTAATTGATTTCTATGCAGAGCTGCATCAGAATTTGCACTCTACAATTTTAGTAAATAACCCATAGTATGTTTTAAAGTGCAATAACATGCAATGTAGAACCAATGCCTTGAGATCTTGAATCTTTTGTTGGAACAGTGTTCAAATTTAGGTTACAACTGATGATGAGATCTGCCAGCACATTACAGAGAGGTTTAATTATGTTAAACATTACTACACAACTCTTTCCTAAATTCTACAAATTAGGGGAAAGCTAGGTTGGATTTTTAAAATGTAAAAAACATTGACAAAAGTAAGCAGCATTTTTTAAGTTATGCTTTGACAGCAGTATCATATAGCTTTAAAGTATGTGTTATCCCAATTTGGCTGCAAAAGTGGAAACACACTTCAAACAAACATGTACTTTATCCATACAGGGAAAGCAACAGGTTTGCATTGATCCCTCTCCCCCAGAAAGAGACATACCTACTGTTTCCTTTACCACTGTATCAATGTATTCAGCCACAGACAGCAAAGGAAGTACCAGTACTCTGGATATGCAGGATAATGTGATTCACTTCACTTCCTCTAATGAACAGTACTGGTGCTTGGTGACTGACCAACTGACCCAGCACATGGTGTTCCCAGCCCTGTAAATGCTGTGACTTAGAGCTGACACAAAGCTTCCTTTCCTTGTTACTAGTGGCTAACGTAGGTAATTTTTCTCAATCATTGGCTTCAACCAATTTTTACCTTAACATTTTTTTCACCATGGTTGTTGTTCACCAATGGTGATACAGGTCACTTAAGCGTATATGTAATGCTTTATAATACTATATATACTGTGTATATATATATTTTGTGAGCTTGTCTGTTTTTTTTATTTTTTAGTGTCCACCCAATCTTCGTAAACAAGATGGATATGCCTGTGATTCAAACCAGGTAACACTTTGTTTGTTGTGTGAAAATATAGACATGCAACCTTCTGCAGTTGATCTACTGAGAATGTTTCTTAAGATGACAGTATTCTACCCAACAATAAGTGGTGGGGATGATTTACTAAAACTGAAGAGTGCAAAATCAGGTGCTGCTCTGCATAGAAACCAATGATCTTCCATTTCTTTTGTCAAAGCTTAACTGAACAAGTTGAACTTAGAAGCTGATTGGCTACCATGCAGAGCTGCATCAGATTTTTCATGCTTAAGTTTTAGTAAATCAACCCCATTGTTTTTAATTTCATTCACCATTGCTCGGGTTGTCAGTGTGACCAAAATGTAGATATAGTTTTAGAGAGTGTAATATCTGCTCGCACTAGAAAAAAAACACTCTATGGTAGAATTATAATCATGTTTGTGATAACATTTATCAGCATAGTTTATTCCCTAATGCCATATATCTTCCAAAGCTTTGAGCACCATAAAAGCCATAATGCCAATATAATGCATCCCACACATTATTTTAATAGTTTACTCCACTCCAGCATTGTAATGAAGCCATGTGTTTCCCTGCAACCTACACCATGTGTTTATCTGCAGCCTAAAATCCTAAAACTTCCATTAAGCTCATTACTAAAGCTGGCCATAGGCGGATCAAAATGTGGTCAGTTTAGCAATTCAGTGTGTGGCTGCTCCTGTTCAACACAACTGGAATGTTTAGATCAACTTCTGTTGAACGAGTAGGTTGGAAAACTGTCAGTCAGCAGCTGCTAATCGGTGTGTTTGGACAGCCCCAGGTACTGTTGTCAGAATCCAATTACCCATCTTGGGGATTCCTCCATCGGCCTGACTTATGTGGATGGAGGAATCTGTTCATTTTTTTCTGACTACTGTCTGAATGAAAAAAAAATCATATATGTCCAGCTTAAGCCTGCATTCACATCTGAGCAGAGCGAAAATGTAGTGTATTCCTAGTCATTTTGAAGCTTTTTTCAAAACTTTTACAAGCGTTGTGCAAGTATGCGTATTCATAAAATCCCCAGTGTTGGTGTCAATGGTTGTAATATTATCCCCCAGCATTGGTGTCCAGTGGGTGCAAAAATAACCCCCAGCACTGATGTCAGAGACCACAATAATAACCCATAGCATTGGTCTCAATGGACACAATAATAACCCCCGGCATTGGTGTCAGTGGGCGCAATAATTAACCGCATATTGGTGCTTAGTTGCAGTACTATTTAATACTCTTCCCTATTGGTGGTTAGTGGCAATGCCTTTAAACCCCCCCCCCCCCCCCCCCCCCCCCCCACACTGGCATTTAGTGACAGTGATGCTTAAGTGATGGTCAGTGGCAATGAAGTTTACCTCCCAAAAAAAATTGGGGGGGACAAGGTAAAAACCATGGAAAGCGCAAAATTCCCATTACTGATTAATTGGCAATGATAGAATGTATTAGGACCCCTTATGATAATGCACATTGATGCACTGTTACAGTAGCAGGCAACGCATCCATCAACACAGACCACCATAAAGCACATGTCATTTGCTGAGGTGCATGCATTATCAAAAGAGGCATAGCCGATGTTCACTGTGTTCAGTTGTGCTGGTTGCCCATTCAAAATGAATAGGCTGTCTTAACACAGCACACCTTAATACATGATAGTACTTTGCATTAATACAATGCATAATGTGAAGAGAGCCTGAAAGAGTAAAACAGTGTTACTAGTGCTCTAGTTTACTCTACAGCACATCATTTTGCATCACATGCGACAGATTTGCTTCAAGCAATTTAAGGCATTAAGGCAAATAAAACAAGTGGTCAAATAAAAAAGTAAATGAAATGGTCCGTGCTGATTGCCATCTATGTAAGTGATATTTGACCTTCAATTTGTTTGATTGCTGATTAGTTGCTATGAGTACCTTTTACACTCTTCCCTATAAAAAAAAAAACAGTTACTAAAGACTGGATGCAAAAGATACATGCAAATTATCTGAAAAAAAAACTCAGCATCAGACTGAAATGGACGTATTTTGCTCTAGGGATGGATTCCTGAAACAGTTTTGTGGCTTGATTTACTAAAGTGTGATGTCTAGGGAAGTCAGAGAAAGCACAGTGAGCAAGGAAAGCAACAGGTTTATGTAACTTTCCCTTCCAGCAACATACACTTAGCTTCCCTTCACTCTGCTACCACTTCATGTGTACACCAGGAGCATAAATGATTCAGTATGGGATACTTCCAGGTATTGGGCAGCATGTGACTCACTCCCTTTCCACCCACTTGACAGCACAAGTAATTGGCCCAGTGCAGTCACATGGTCTTCTTTCTGAATATGTTGTCTGGCTGCCATGCTAATAAGTCTTCTACTTTTCTCTGACTCTTCTGTTCTACATTTTTCTGGGTCAGTGACTCAAAAGGTATTGAAAGTGAGAATAACAGGCATACAAATAGTATTTCCAAAGGAAGGTGAGAAGTGGCAGTCCTCACATTCCTACTAAAGGAAAAAATGGGCTTGAGTGAACCTTAGTGATAATCTGAACACCTGAAAGTGAAGCTTTGTTTTCTTTGAAATTCCTCTGAATTTGATTGATTGTTTGTAATACATACAGGTTCACTTCAGACCACTTCACTCTTTACATCTTAATCCATTCACTAAACTCTCATATAAACCTTAATGCAATCTTCCAATTAAAAAGTTGTTTTCAACCTTTTTTAAATCTCTTAGCTGGTGATCCTGCTATGGAGGCCCTTATTCAGACACCTCTTGTTATTGGGAGACAACTGTCTACCAATTGTGATCCTGCATGGCTCCTGTCCTATGAGCTCTTGGTTGACCACAAGCATCTGTGCTGTCACACACATTACACAGGCGTAGTCTACCATTGTCACTATTGGAAAGCTGGCTCAAATCACCATCATTTTCAAAGAGCACAAGCACTGTAACTCTTTAGTAAAGATAGTTAGTTGATCTATGGATTAAACTGTGGTGTTCTTGAAAAAGGCTGGTAATCAACTGGCTAACCTTTCCTAAAGAGCTCCAATCCTGCCCGCTTTCCCTGGTGTATGGTTGGGATGTTACTAATAAGTGCTGGGTAGTTACAGTAATGGCCAGAAATATTGGCACCCTTGCATTTATGTCAGATAATGCACCACTTAGCCCAGAAAATGATTGTAATTACAAATATTTAGGCATTCTCGTGTTTATTTCTTGCTTGCATTGGTATGACACAAAAAAGTGAAGAAACAAAAAGCCAAATCTGACATATTCCACTCAAAACCCCCAAAATTGAGTGGACAAAATTATTGGCACCTTCTCAATATTGTAAGAAATAATTGCATTCCAAGTTTGTGATGCTCCTGTAATTTGTAAATAAACTCACCTGTATCAGTTAACAGGTGCTGACAATATATAAATCACATCAGCAACCAGTTAAAATGGTGAAAAATGTACTCAACCTTTCTGTTGTATGGCTTTGTGTGCCACATGGAGCATGGAGAAGAGAAAGAGCAGCAAAGAATTGTCTGAGGATTTGAGAACAAATATTGTGGAAAAGCATGGACAATCTCAAGGTTAGGAATCCATCTCCAGAGATCTTAATGTTCCTGTGTCCATTGTGCACAACTTTGTCAAGAAGTTTACAGCCCATGGTACTGTAGCTAATCTCCCTGGACATGGACAAAAGAGAAAATTTGATCAAAGATTACAATTGAGGATTGTTTGAATGGTGGATACAGAACTTCAATTAACTTCCAGACAAATTCGGGCTGACCTTCAGGCACAGGGTACAACTGTGTCAGCTCGCACTATACATAGCAATCTGAATGACAAGGACGCTATGGTAGAAGACCCAGGAGTACCGCACTGCTGACACAGAAATATAAAAAAGCTAGGTTGGAATTTGCCAAAACATATCTGAGGAAGCCAAAATCCTTTTGGAAGTAGGTGCTGTGGACAGATGAAACAAAATTACAGCTTTTTGTTAAAGCCCATCATTCTACTGTTTTCAGAAAAAGAAATGAGGCTTTAAAAAAAAAGAATACAGCTCTTACTGCCAAACATGGTGGAGGTTCACTGATGTTTTGGGGTTGCTTTGCTGCTTCACGCACTGGATGTCTTGACCTAGTGCATGGCATTATGAATTCTGAAGACTACCAAAGAATTCTGGGGTGCAATGTAGGGCCCAGTGTCAGAAAGTTGGGTCTCCATCAGAGGTCATGGGTCTTACAGCAGGACAATGACCCAAAGCACACATCAAAAAACACCCAGAAATGGTTTCAGACAAAGTGCTGGAGAGTACTAAAATGGGCAGCAATGAATCCAGATCTCAGTCCCATAGAGCACCTGTGGGGAGATCTCAATACAGCAGTTGAGAAAAGGAATTCTTCCAATCTGAGAGACCTGGAGCAGTTGGCGAAAGAAGAGTGATCCAAAATTCCAGCAGAGAGGTGTAAGAAACTCATTGATGGTTACAAGAAGTGATTGATTTCAGTTATTTTAGCCAAGGGGTGTGCAACCAAATATTACATTGAAGGTGCCAATAATTTTGTTCAGTCCATTTTTGGGGTTTTGTGTGGAATGTGTCCGATTTGGCTTTTTGTTTCTCCAATTTTTTGTGTCATACCAATACAAACAAAAGAAATAAACAAGAGGCTGCATAAACACTTGTAATTTCAACAGTTTTCTGGGTACAGTGGTGCATTATCTGTCAGAAATGAAGGGGTGCCAATATTTTTGGGCATGACTGTATGAGTTTTATGTTCATGACCATGCTGGTTTGGGAGCAAACTCTGTCTCTCAACTGAGAACCTGCATGAACCCCCATGGTTGACATTAAAAGCTGTGCTGACGCACATGTTGCAAAAGCATGGTCTACCAATGCCACTATCATAAAAATGGCCCTAAGCAATGCTGTGCAGCTGACACTGGACCAAGTTTATGAAGACAGTAAGTAGCTGAAAGAGTCTGGGTGAGATCAGCAACATAAAAAAGTGAAATAAGAGAGTGAAAACTTTTATTTTATTAAAAAAAATAATGGCAATTTTTTATATTTTGTTTTTATAAACAGTTCTTTAGTAGACTAAATATCATCTTCTTAGGATTTAGATCTACTTTAATCTGGTCCAAGATCACTTCAGTGTGCATGTTTAGTGTCTCTAGGAAACTTTACAGAGAGAACTGAATGATATATCTACTAGATTAATTTTTTGTTTTTAGATTGTTCATCATGGTCTTTTTTTTTTCAAATTAAAGCCTTGGCTAAAATTCTGTAACAAATGAACGTAGAACTATAGGCACAATTTTTTTTAATTAAATTTTGGATAGAGCAAAGGAGGAATAAAACCCTGTCAGATTTTCGCCATCTATGTCCCATTGCTGAGATTTCCCTTCTTTTCCTGTCCAATAGCCAAAAAAGGAAGTGAGAAGAAATCACTGCTAATTAAGGAAATTTCTTGGGGACCCCCAGGCCATCAGAACTAGAGCCTCCATTGGAACATTTCCCCTCTATTACTTTTCTGGTACAACCCTAAATTTGGGATTTTTTTTTCACGTTCAATGATAATAGTAAACAGGACAAATAGTGAGGGTGAATCTCCCTAATAGGGGCCCAGACAACAATAACAACAGACAAGTGTTCTAATCCCTCTCCACACTATCCAAAACTAAAAAAAAAAAAGAAAAAACTTTGCCTTTAGTTGTACTTTAACAGGTAAAAGCATTACATTTCTTGCATGTCTCACTTGTGGTATGTACAGCTTATATTTATTTTAACAGAAAATATATTATTTTTATTTTATATCTCCGTTTTGGACATACAAATATATTTCAGGGACGCTGTTACAATGGGGAATGCAAGACAAGAGACAATCAGTGCAAACACATCTGGGGACAAAGTAAGTTATTACTGTATTAACTATGCAACTGTATTTATTTTTTTAATTACTATAGCTACTAGTTTATTTAGATGCAGCCTATTTACTGGGCTAAATTATGATTGGTACAAAAATAATTGTTCAATCATATTTACTTTATTTCAGTAAGGCAGTTGTCATGAATTCATAGATTCAAAAGTGGTATTTCATTTTACGTCAGACTCATGGGCTGAATAATTCTGTGTTATATATCTTGGGGATTCCCTGCCATAGTTCCAAGTTTTGATTACACTGAAACAGCCTTACCCATTTTGTTTCATGCTTCATTAGAAAAACTAAATAAAGAATCTGACCATTCTAAAAAAATTAGTACACAATCCAGTAGGGAGAGCAGAGGCTCCCTTTATGGTCTCTACAAATAGCCAGCTCGGGGGAACGCAAGATTCCATTGGATTCCTGGAGATTTTAGAAATCATTCATTGGTTTAAATCACCATCATTTACTAAAAATAGTTTTAGTTGGACTGGCACTGTAACTCCTTAGTGAGCGCAGTCAGTCGATCTATGGACTATACAGTGTTCCAGCAGGCTGTAGATCAACTATATAACCTTTCCCAAAGATCCCCAATCCTGCCTGCTGTCCCTGCTTTTTGTTTTTTTGCTGGGTAGGGATGAGGTAGAGTATGTAATTGTGGCCATACCAATGTAACACCCTGCAGGATGTTAACTAAAAACAAGATGGCAGTGTTCTGCGGTTCAGTTATGCAGACTCTATTGATGTAAATCTTGGACTTGTATGCTGGTAGCAGGACTTAAGCACTCAGATAGGGAGTAAACAGACTACATTTCCCAGGAGAGCTGGTAAAGGGGCAGGGCATGTATATTGAGAAGCCCAGGAACTTTACAGGAAGGAAGTGGATGGTAAGAGGTGGTGGAAAGGTGTGTGTGGAGGACTCTGGAGATCCGGGCTGGACCGGGCCTATTGAGCAGAGAAGTACAGAAAGACTGCAAACCGTTGGTATCGCTGACAAGCAGGACAGTAAATCCTGTTGGCAGTTGGATCGTAGTGCTGTCATCAGCATCACTCATTAACAGAGGAACCAAACATTAACAGGTCCCCCTCCGGAAAGACTACCTCTTATGTTGTGAAGGCTACAGATCGGGTGAGAGGGTTCCATACCCCGATCATCACAGTGATTGTATTAATTTCAGTTGTTCAGTTCAGTACACCTTACACCACAGCTTATCACACTGAGGCCCAGACTGTCTGGCGGCCTACCACTTTAGTGCCTCGCTAACACCCTGAAACCGCAGGACTCTGGCTACAACACGTGCCCACTTCGGACAGGATTACACTTAGTATCTCATTTCAAGCCTCTTCCAACTATAAAGGAACCTACTTCACCAGACTGGTTCACCATCTTTAGGGGGTCAGGCTTTGTTGAAGTCTGTTTCCACCCCTTTCTACAATCTTAGCTAATTCTTGCCTTCATCCTTTGTTTTAAAGCGACTTTACCCAAATTCAACATCACTCAAAGGGGGAATTTTTCTGTGCTTATACCATCTTAAGGAAATCTTGCACTAGGAAGGATCTGAACCTTAATGTAGAAAAAATAAAGATTTGACACCCTTACTTAAAAAGATACAAAAGGGGGACACTATTGCTTATAACGAAAGTATTCATCTCCAGAGTTAAACCCAGTTACCGGCAACTGAGAACCCCAAAGTGAGTTAGCCTGACAGCTTGATAATTCACTCCAGATCACTTGGGGAGAGACATCTTAGAAGCTGGAATTGATGTTTAAATTCTGATCCTACAGGATATTTGGGGTTACTTAAAGTGATACTGTGTTTTATTACTTTGGTGAACCTTTTAGAGTGTTTAACTTTTCTTTTATGCACATCTACTGTGATTCTTCTTGTGTTTGCATTCTTTATATTCTGACCTCAATATAACCAGAATATTTGTTCACGCTAAACTGTGTGGTTTTTTTTTATGGTTCAAAGCCAGAGATTCCTTCTGGTCAAAGATTCACGGTGGTGTCAGTAGGGGCTGTACTTCCAAAGCAGGCTCAGGACAGACAGGGAACCCAAAAATACTCAGTGGCCCTCAAGAGGGTAGTGCTACACAAAGGTGGCACCAAACTCTGCATGGTGGTAATTCTCAGACTTGGCAAAACTAAATGACCAAATTTGTCCTGTTTGCCTCCACAAACCTCTGGCTGCTACCTTAGCACAAAGTGGTTTATTTATATATTTATACAAAAGGATAGGGTTTGGATTTTACACACAGTTCTTTTTAAACTCCAGATTAGACCCTCATCAAGGAATATGGAACCCCATGACATTTTTTGTTTTTTTGTGTTCCCCCTTACAATCCATAACAGACCCTGATTAAGGGTTTGGTATGGACATTGAGGGGAATGTCGTAGTGGCATTTTAAATTGTATTTTTTTCATTTTAAATGTCACTTTTGGTTTGGCACATTATAATGATATGCTACGTCAGAGACAGGTTTAATGCACTCCCAAAGAATGTTATTTAAAGGAATTGTGCATTTTTAATTTTTTTCTTTAAACTTTAATAAAAGAGCTGATTCCCTTCAGTGGTATTTTACAAATGCATTTTTTGCATGGGTACATGTCACCCTGTGCTCACATCCCTGTTCTTTTTGTTTGACAATCCATTGTCTATTATCTCTGAAGCTGGACAGAACCGATTTTCAAAATTCACATTCCATTGACTTGAGTGGGCTTCACGTTCAAGTTTGCTATTTGTGAATTTTTGGACATGTTAGCCAAAAATGCCCATGTATTGAGCCCATCCAGATTTAACCATCACTAGTGCTGGGAACCTATCAGAGTGGCTCATGGAGACAATGCATTGTGCCTGGAGACATCATGCGACAAAGAATGAACTAAATAAATTATATTTGTCTTTGCCCCTTTTGTCTATGGACAAAAAATATGGTATAACTTTTCACTTCTGCCACCTCGAATAAGATGCTCATTTTTCATTTATAGACTTTCACAAGGTAATACACAGCACACTGAAAATTCTGAAATGTATTATTTTTTTTTAGCATACACAACTGTTATATTAACGATAATATTTTAATAATTGTCATGAAAGTTATAGAAAGAAACAGAAGCATAGATGTATGGACAAAGTGAAGCATTCACAGTTTACTTTGCCAGCACAAGCATGACAGCATATACATAGGCATGAGTTCCCTTAGAGACCAAACACATTCTTTAAGGTGAGGGTTAGTAGGTAAGTATTTATTCATTTTAAAATACAGTTCAGTTATGGGCTTAATGGATGGCAAAATATTCAGAATGCCTTGAGAGGTCCTTTTCATCTCCTGAAGAAACTGCAATGCAATCAAAGTTCCACAAGACAGGCTAAAGGGAAAACCTTATGTCCGAAGGAACAATTGACCTTTGAGTTTGTGAACAGCCTGATTTGCCCAGTAAGATGCTGTGCCAGGTCTGATTAACAGAAGCAGCAGCGGGTGAAGAGGCAAAAAAGTTAGAAGTTTTGAGCCTTATTAAACGGACGGTGAAGGCCTTTATTCATGATTTGTCAGTTACTAAGCCCAGTAAAGCAGCTGCATATCTGTCTAAAGCCCTTCTTTGTCTCAGAGGCAGTAGGTTAGAGAGCCCTCAACAGCATCTCTTTCAGGGGATGAATCGCTGTCAGCAGAATCACCAGCTGTAGGCTTTGATTTTACATATGGAACCACCATCAATGTTCAGAAGGTATTAGCAACACCTTCCTCTAATGCAGGGGTCTCCAAACTATGGCTCTTCAGGTGTTAAGGAACTGCAAATCCCATGAGGCTTTGCAAGACTCTAACAGCCACAGGCAAGACTCCCAGAGGCATGATAGGACTTGTAGTACTTCAACAGCTGGAGGGCCATAGTTTGGAGATCCCTGCTCTAATGGAAAAATGAGACAGATGATATTTGATAAGTGGAAGGGAGTGGAGACTAAACCCTTTCTGCTGAATAGATTTGCTAGGATTTAGGCCTTTGAAAGAAGATAAAGCTTGTTGATTGGATGCAGTCCCTCTAATCAATGCAGCAGTCAGCAAAGTTGCTGGGAATGTCACATTACCAAAGGACGACACAAGACACCCTAGACAGAAGGACAGATATGGATGTCAAGAAGATTTATACCACCTCGGGGGGCACCTGTAGGCCAGCAATGCCGCTTAGATCAGTAGCCAAAACAATCCATTTGTGGCCATAAAATGTAGATCTTTTGGGTGGCAACAAGGTTTTTTTGGTTTTCTAGTCTCAGCCTTCCTCCTGTGACTTCAGATATTGCATTTTCTAGCTTGTTGTTGTACAGGAATGAGCCTCCATATTTACTTCTACACCAATTTGACTTAGAAAAGGTGTCTTCAGTCCATGGCTGAGTGAAATTAAACTGACGTGTGATTTTGCCAATAACAGATTTACAATGTTTCATATCCAAGGCCATGTTGTATTTAGTAATGCTAAAAATATCCCCCCAACTTAAGCCATGGATTGCAGATATCTTATCTAAGCCAAATCTGTGTATAATTACATATTAAGGCTTTTTTCCTGTACATCAACAAGCTATAAAATGCAATATCTGAAGTCACAGGAGGAAAGTTGGGATTATTCTCTCATGATAGAAGACCAAGGCACTAATGCCAGCAAATAGACACATTCAGAGGTTCAGAGATTTAGAGTTTGGTTGTTCAGTTTTGTATAAATGTAAGTTGTACAAATACCGTTTTGTCTGTTATGTCACATACACATGCTGCCATGCTTGTGGCAGGAAACTGGAAAATTGTATACTTACCTATCAGTAATTTTCCTTTCCTGATAATAAAGCATATAAGTATACAAAATCTCCCAGGGCTTTTGCATTGAGTATATTTACACCAACAATGGCCTTTTATGGGGGTTTCATATAATCAGTTTTGTGAGTAAGAATGAAACCATATCTATGAGTATGCTGCCATGCTTCAGGAAAGGAAAATTAATATTAGATAATTATACCATTATCCTGTTTATAATTTTCTTTTGCTGTCATGGCAGAAGCTTCAGGGTCGGACAAATATTGTTATGAAAGACTGAATGCAGAAGGCACAGAGAAAGGAAATTGTGGAAAGGATGGAGGTAACTGGATCAAGTGCAGCAAACAGTAAGTTAAAAGGAGCTAGTTGTTATTGGAATAGACAAAACAGTTCAAGAAACATTCTCCTGATATTATTGCTAAATATAAGCCAGCATTGATATTTGACCTATGTAGGAATGGCAGGATGAATGTACCTTCATGTAATTTGCTAAGAAATCTAAATACTTACCACCGGTAATAGATCCTGTGTGTGAGAATATAGGAGTTGAGTTACTAGAAATAGAACATGTTCACTGTGTAAAGTTCAAGTATACTTTGCAAAGTGAATGCTCACTTAGCTTAGATTTAAGGTGAAGTTGTGTTAACATCAATTATCAAACCATATGCAAGTCAAAACCCTGTTTTCAAAGTGAACACAGCTTCACTACTTCTCTGCTTCTACTAAGCCAATAATGTATAGTTCTTTAGTAAATCAACCTCTTTCGGTGTAGGTGAAACATACATGCACATCTAAGCTGGCTGTAAACAGTATCAGCTTTTTGCTTTTGTTTTATCTATATATTAATTGAGGACCTTATAAATAGCAAGACTTACCAGTGTTAGGCACAGTAGACATCTGTCTATTTGTGGCAGAGGCAAAGGTGGTCTCTTTTTTCCTCTATAATTGGCCATTTTTCTTTATCATCATTAGGAGTAGTTTATATTAGTAGTATATTACCACAATATTCTAAGCCAGGTTAAGAACAGAAAAACAAAGTAATGTTATTTGTAAAAGAGGTGATAGCAGAGGGGTATTACTCAGAGTTCCAAAGGTTGTGTGTCTATAAGCTCCAGTTAACAAGATCCAACCCTGGTTGGTAGGATTATTCTATGACATGACAGTCAATTTTGTTCCATTTATATTGCATTTAGAGCCTCTAACATGACCTGTTCTAAAAGGTACATTAAGCTTCCTAATTTTCTCTCATCTTCCTGTAAAGAGTTTGCTTAAAATGTATCTAAAGCGAAAACTTTTTTGCTTTGGATAGAGTAGGGAATGAATGTTAAGGAAGTAAGTCTTTCTATCTGTCCCTGTGACCTCTCATCCACAATTTTGAGTTGACACAAAAATAGAGAAATCAGTGGGGACATATAAGCCAATGACAGTTCTCTAAAAGGGCATTTCTTTCACTTTGGAGAGATGTCCTTTCACTTCCTGTTGTGTCTAGAGGACAGGGAATGAAAAAAAATATTCCCAAAGGTACAGATTACATTTACAAAAGCAGCAGTTTTTACCCTTTCTCACTCAATTTGAACAGCAGAAAAACAGTTTTGGATTTAGATATGCTTAAAGTACCAGGGCACTAATCACCAAAAGCAGAAACATTTCAGAAGTAACATTTTCCATACTTTATGAGTGGATCATGTTGAATGACTATGTACTGCATAGCACATTCTTTTGCATACCTTCTGAATTTTTAGTGTGTAAGACCACATTGCATTGGAGTGACGGTGCATTTCCTTGATTTTCTTTTTTAATTGGCATTAGCTTCAGCAATATATACTTGATTAACACATTCTAATTTGAATGTGAGACGTTTTGTATTTCCCATGCCTGTTCCATGTAGGAGTTATGACTGTATGCCTTTTCATAATATAGATGCAATAATCCATACTTTAACAACTTTGTAGGCTCACAGTGAAATATTCATTGATATAGTAAATTGTTTTTTGGCATGTGTACACTATTGATGCAGGGTACATCAAGGAAATAATAATACAAATAATTTAAGAACATTACATTGAAAGATGTACATTAAATTAATAAAAGGCACCAGCAATGTAATTTTTTAAATTTGGCTTTTTCTCTTGCAGTGATGTATTTTGTGGATTTCTGCTATGTGCAAATGTATCTAAAACCCCTCGTATTGGCAAATTAGAGGGTGACATTCCACCAACATACATTAATCACCAAAAGAGAGTTCTGGACTGCAGGTATTTAATTGAGGTTTTTACATGCTTTATCAATATTTTTTTGTACTGTTATTATTGTAAACAGTGGTGAATTACAAGAAGGACAGAATGGGTGGCTGCCTCAGGTCCATGGGGATGTTAATAATGTTCTGCACGTCAGTGTTATTTCACCTTGCAAGGCTTTCTGGGTCCTTTTTATTGCTTTTTTATGGCAAATCACTGAAATAAATGTAATTTAAATTTAATTTAAATGTATCAAAATGTATGTTAACACACATTCTGATGTGTAAACACACATGAGGGCATGCCATTGTGCACATCCAATGACATTCAATGCAATGAAAAATATATCTGCCAAAATTGGACAAGTGTGTATTGGCCTTTCCTTGAGTAGGTGTTCATCAATGGTAGGCTTCATATTTCTCCTAAAAGCATATACTGTATACAGTTTGTACATCTTGCAATACATAAACATAACCCCAAGTTTTATCATTTAAATATGCTGCAAGTACAGAATATTAACTGTTGATATGACAAAAATATACTATGCTCCTATCTTCCTTTTTGACATAACAACCCTCTGAATTTTAAAGCATGTGTTTTCAGCCCTACCTACTTAATTTCTGATGCATCACAAAGAACAAACACCTCTTCACATCTCTCCCGCACCTCCTCATTTCCTCATCTTCATAACACCTTCTTGTGCACAGGCAGGAAGCACAGGAAGTTATCAGTTTACTGGTTTCTGGGAAAAGTACAGGTATTTTTTGCACTTGTCGAACAGATACAGTATAACACAAATATCCAAATTGGGATTATAGTCTGCAGTGCTTACCCTCTTCTTAAATGGTCAGCCAACGCTGACATCTTTCTCCTGGGTGCCAGTCTTCGGCCATCTTGGTTGACCGGCATGGGATGAGGAAGAATGTACCACTGAATATTCCACTGCATAACACAAATGCTTATGTACAATGAACGTTATCCCTTTAAACTGGCCCATATATTGAGAACAGCACAGGGCCCATGGTACAATTATTTCATTGCTGGAATTTGTTTTTCTACAGAAATTTTAAAAAAAGTGTTCGATGTATAATTATCTCTTTACACAGTGGTGCCCATATTCTTTTGGATGATGAAACTGACATGGGATATGTAGAAGATGGAACGCCATGTGGCCCATCAATGATGTGCCTAGACAGAAAATGCCTCTATATTTCATCACTAAACATCAGTAGCTGTCCAATGGGTTCAAATGACAAAGTCTGTTCTGGACATGGGGTAAGTTTAATGTAGAACTTTTAGGAAAAGCCCTATTAACCAACTGTGGAAGACTTATTTGTAGTTTTAAACTAGTAAAGTGAAACTGACCTCGCCTTCTATCAGAGCTTTCTGCAGTCTATCTATGTTCTGTAGAATGTATATGTTTAATGCTCTATTTCCATTTCCATGTTTGCCTAACTAATAACTGCTACTAATGTGCATTTGTGCCCAGACTATGGACATTAAACTACAGAGATTTGCATAAGTGAGCACACCCCTTTTGAAAAGTAAGATTTTAATCAATATCTCAATTTACACAAGAACAATTTCCAAATTTTTGACAAAACTGCGTTTTATAGAACATTTGTTTAGCTAATTACATGAAAGTAAGGTTAAAGTGGTTGTAAAGGATGAAGGTTTTTTACCTTCATGCGTGCTATGCATGAAGGTAAAAAACCTTCTGTGTGCAGCAGTGCCCCCAGCCCCCTCAATACTTACCTGAGCTCCATCACGATCTAGCGATGTGCATGACAGCCTCGGCTGTCCTTGTCTCTGTCTTCTCATTGGCTGAGACAGCAAGCGGGAGCCATTGGCCAGTCAGCCAGTGAGGAGAGAGAGGGGACAGGGCCAGGCCATGGCTCCGTGAATGGACACACGGAGCAGCGCTTCGGGAAAACGCCTGCTCCGGTGCCCCCATAGCAAGCTGCTTGCTATGAAGGGCAACCGACAGAAAGGAGGAGCCAGGAGCGCTGACAGGGGACCTGAGAAGAGGAGGATCGGGACTGCTCTGTGCAAAACCACTGCAGAGAGCAGGTAAGTGTAACATGTTTGTTAACTTCTTGCCGACCGCGCATAGCCGAATGACGGCTTCACCGCGGCTGGCCAGTTCTGAGTGGACGTCATATGACGTCCTCCCAGAACGCGCTCTCCTGCGCGCCCCAGGGGGCGCGCACCCGGCGATCTCCGTGATCGCTGTGTCCTACGGACACAGCTGATCACGTGATGTGGTGAAAGGCCGATCCCACCGGCCTTTTACCACGTGATCAGCGGTGTCCAATGACACGCTGATCACAGGGAAATGCAAGTGCCGGTTCTCGGCTGCACTTTCCTCACGCTGTCAGATCGTGAGGAAAGTACTGCCGAGAACCGGCAGTTGTCAGAGCGGGGATCGGCACCGATCATCAGGGCACTGATGATCAGTGCCCTGATGATCGGTGCCCAGCAGTGACACGCGCATGTTCCGCCCAGCAGTGCGCCCACTAGCCCCGCCCCACCCGTTCCCAGCAGTGCCCCCACCTGTGCCCAGCAGTGCCCCCACCTGTGCCCAGCAGTGCCCCCACCTGTGCCACTCTGCAGTGCCACCTACCTGTGCCCAGAAGTGCCACCTACATGTGCCCAGCAGTGCCACCCACCTGTGCCCACCCACCAGTGCCACCCACCTGTGCCCACCAGTGCCACCCACCTGTGCCCACCCACCAGTGCCACCCACCAGTGCAGCCCAGCAGTGCTGCCAGTCAGTGCCACCAGTCAGTGCCCAGGGGTTGTGCCAGTCAGTGCGCCGCCAGTCAGTGCCCAGAAGTGATGCCAGTCAGTGCCGTCTATCAGTACCCATCATCAGTGTCACCTATCAGTGCCGCCTATCAGTGCTGCATATCAGTGCCGCCTATCCGTGACCCCTAATTAGTGCTGTCTATCAGTGCCGCCTATCCGTGCCACCTCATTAGTACTGCCTATCAGTGCCCTTTAGTGGTGCCTATCAGTGCCCATCAGTGCCGCCTATCAGTGCCCATCAGTGCCGCCTCATCAACGCAAATCAGTGAAGGAGAAAAAATACCTGTTTGAAAAATTTTATAAAAGAAACAAATAAACTTTTTTTTTTTTTTCAAATTTTTTGCACATTTTTAATTTATAGCGCAAAAAGTAAAGCGCCCAGTGGCGATACCACCAAAAGAAAGCTCTATTTGTGAGAAAAAAATGATCAAAATTTCATATGGGTACAATGTTGCATGACCGCGCAATTGTCAATCAAAGTGCGGCAGCGCTGAAAGCTGAAAATTGGCCTGGTAAGGAAGGGGGTATAAGTGCCTGGTAGGCAAGTGGCTAAATAAATAAATAACAAAATTGAGTATCACTTTAGTAATGTAAATTAGATTACAAAATCTTCAGTTTTACACAAATTGGTTGATGCAAAAATTATTACACCCAGAACAAAAACTACTACATCTAGTATTTTGTATGACCATGATATGTAAGCCCAGCACCAAGTCATCTAGGAATGAACAAGTTGGTGACATATTGCAACATCATTCTTTTTCCATTCTTCAAGAACGACCTCTTTTAGAACCTGGATGCTGGATGGAGAGTGATGCTCAACTTGTCTGTTCATAATATTCCATACAGTAGGTGTTTGATTGGGTTCAGATCCGGAGACATACTTGGCCACTGAATTACTTTTACCCTGTTCTTCTTTAGAAATGCAACAGTGGCCTTAGATGTGTGTTTCGGATCATTGTCATTTTGGAAAAAGTGCATGACGGCCAAGGGCAGAGAGTTATGGTAGCATCTTCTTTTTCAATATAGAGCAGTACATCTGTGAATTCATGATACCATCGATGAAATGCAGCTCCCCTACACCAGTAGCACTCATGCAGCCCCATAGAAGGACACTGCCACCACTATGTTTCACTGTAGCCACCATACATTTTTCTTTGTACTCCTCACCTCTGCAATGCCATACAGTTTTAAGGCCATCAGTTCCAAAAACATTTATCTTGGTCTCATCACTCCAGAATACAGTGTCCCAGTAGTCTTCTTCTTTTTCAGTATGGGCCCTTGCAAAGTCTAGGCAGGATTTTTTGTGCATGGGCATTAGAAAAGGCTTCCTTTGTGGACGACACCCATGCATGCCATTCCTCTGCAGTGTATGCTGTGATGTGTCAAGGGAAATAATCACCCCAGTTTGGCTGTCTACTTCTTTAGCTAACTGCAGTGATCTTGCATGGCAATTTTCTTCAACCCTTCTCATCAGAAGACGCTCCTGTTGAGGTGTTCAATTCTGTGGACAACCTGGACGTCTCTGTGAGATGGTTACAGTTCCATCTTTGTTAAATTGTTGTATCACTTTTGCTACACTATTGTGACTGATAAGTAAAGTTTTGCCGATCTTCTTGTAGCCTTCTTGTGTAAAGAAATGGAAAGGGGTTTTCTTTGTTAATTAACGCCCTTTTGTAATCAACTGTCTGCTGGACACCTGTTTACTGAATAATTAGACTTACCTGTAGTTGAATTCTTGTTAATTAGTATTTTGTTGTCTGAAATTTTGCTTTGCTCCTAAGACTTTCATTGGGGTGTATTCATTTTTGCAACATGGTCTTGAATGAATTTGTTAAGAAAAATACTTTTTTGTGTCTTCAAATTAACAAATCTTGTTTGCAATCAATGGCCTGCATTTGTGGGAGTATTTTGTAGTATAGTGCCTGAAATAAATTATGGGAGTGGGTTTGGATGCCCCTTACTTATATTAAAATTATGTACTATCTTGTCGGTCCCTGTAATTAGCCAGTATATCTGAGTTCTGACAATATTCATGGTAGTCATATATTACAATCTTAGCTATAATAATAAACACAGTGCTCAAAGAAGCAAGGTCTTTATTATTTACAAAGGAAGTAAAACACTAACAGAGAAATCTAAACAAAAATTAAAGAGCATATCGAAATAAAAGAGCAAAGATGATACGTTACATAAGTTTGTCCTCAAAGTTGAGTATCCTTTAGCTGGGCCCTGGGTAGAAAGAGGGAAGGGGTGCAAGCATGGCCAGGCTTGCATTTAAAGCGCTCTCAGACACCACCCACACAAACACCCTTGACCCATCTGGTGTAGTCCTCTGTCCAAAGAGCGACAGTCCATAACTCATAAGGGGCTGTCCTCCTTCCTCATTAGGACATAAGTATAGTATTACCCCAGCCATCCTCCTGGAAGTATGTCGTCTCCACCAGAGGGCACTGCTATATTGACAAAAATGCTATGACCCAGGTCAACATTTCAGTCCACATCGTTTATTCCTTCTGGCTAGAAGCCATGCGATCTGTCCTTTTAATCTTCATGTCACCAGGGAATCTGTGCCAAGGCTCTCTTATCTCCACACTCCAATGCTAGGCGGCAAGTGTGAATTCCTAGGACCAGGATTTTGCAATGCAGCCAATGCAGCCACACGCCCTGTTGTAAATTCTTGTTTTACTGACACTCCAAGATGACATCCAACAGCCCAAATGGTTCTTTGATAACCAGGCAGTAAGAATCCATAAATGTCTGATATAAAAACATGTTGCCTTCCAACATATGCTGCTTTGTGCCTGAATGGCACACCATCACCTTCTTCAGAGACAGCTTCTATAGAACAGTCCAGACATGTCTGACATTAGGACACATTGTGCTAACCAATATATGCCGCTTTGCACCTGCATGGCACCTCATCACCATTCTTCAGTGACTACTTTGATGGCACTACTCAGTGTCTTTTCCTTATTGGCATCTTTAAAATCGGGTCCACTACGTGTAAGGATGTTCATTCACTCACTATTCGTCAGCACATGCTTAGAACCATACATTAACCAGCTTTTAGATACTACTGTAAACCTCAAGCAGGGCCTTACCCAACCATATTATTAACCTAATAAATCTCTGTTGAACTATAACAGCACACAAATCAACCCATTATCATAATATATACATATACGTTGACCCTAGTAACAATTTTATATGTTCCTATCGGTACCTGACACACCAAATTAAGCAGCCAACTCCCAACCTCCTACTGCCCTTCATTGTATACACAGCTCGGAATTAGGCAGGTCTGCTCAGTATGGCCTTCTCTATTGCAATTTCCATAGAAAATGTTGATTCTTAAAGAAAAGTAAAGGTTTTGTGACAAATCTCTTGAGGTGTACTCATTTATGCTGAGCACTGTATTTACATATTCTCAACAAGCGGTAAAAGAGAGTTAAACAAGCAATTGCTCACCTCTGCAGCTACTTTTACTGTGAAATAATTTGTTTTCTAAGATCCCCAAAGATGACAACAAAGACTCTAAAGTCAAGTTTCAGTCTGTTTCTAACAGCTTAGAAACACCTGGTGTGTGTTTATATTAAAAGGCTGTCAGGCTGCAGAAATCTGCTCTCAAAGAGAAAAGCTGAGATTTCAGTGCATTGTGAACATTGAAAATTAATTTCTCCACAATTTATATAGTTTCAAAGCTTAATGATGGCTTTTTTTAAAAAAACAAACAAAAAAATACATGTGGCAATGTAATTGGTGCAGGAACTTTCAAATCAGTTTTTTGTCAATGTTACAGAAGCAGTTGAAAGCATAATAGTCGTTGACTGACTGCAGAGGAGATGGGATTGAAATTGCTCTCATCAAACACGCTAAAAAAAACAAAAAAATCATGTAGGCAGTTGCAGTTTACCCTCCCCTCTGTGTTGCTGACCACTGTACAAAGGGAATGGAGGATGAGGATGTAGAAAGTATAGGCACAGGATCCACGCTAGATAGGGACAGTTCATTTACCCTAGAGAGAGGTTCTTGATGAGGAGAGACAGAATAGGGACACCACCATGTCAAAGTGACAATCTGTTATCTGCTTTTGCCAATGTGACGCTAACATTGCTGGAACTTCTACGACTGCGCTCTTGTAATATTGGGCTCTTGGTGTTAAATATTTTGTGGAACTGTTAAGTCAAGAACTTTGGTGCTGTACCCACTTGTTGTTTTCCTACCTACAATTTAACCAAATAATAATTTATTTGGATCTCTGTGTGCTGTTGGTACAAAATGTGTCTGCCACATTTGGTAGCAACTCCTTGGCCCCTCCCATAATCACTTTTAATTATATATTTTCCAGTTCCATTTTAATTTGATAATTCAATAAAATGTATTGAAGCTTTCAATTTACCTAGTTTTCACAATTCACAAATTAAATTCTGGGGTCCGATCAAACTAATGAGTGATACATGGCTCAGTTGCTTGTGTTGTGATCATATTTACAAGTCTCGGTGGTTCAAAAAGTGTTCGGGATTGACTGATTTGACTGACTGAAATGCAATTTGACTGACTGATGTTGCTTTACAAACCCTCCTGAGACAGCTGAATGCTTGGCTGTTCTGACAGGCAAAGCTACTGCATTTCCTTCCAGCCTCCACGTTTCTGTTAACCAGAAAGAATGCTCATCGTGAATTGCCAGTAGGAAAATATATGGGCACTGCTTAGGAGCAATCTCCTTCACTACATAGAAGTTTTCGTGCTTTGCCTTGTAAAACAGCTTGGCTGCTGAAGATATGCGCAGATGTCTCTAGTTGCCTAGTTGTCTACTTTCTTACCACCAGAGTTTTTTTTTTCTCTTTAAATAGTTTCTTTAAAAGCGAAGCATTAGTTCACAAAAAACAAACATATATACTCAACTAGATCACTGCAGCATCAGTCCAATGCTGCAGCTGTCCTCCGCTGGCTCTACACCGAGAACTGAGCGATCAAAGACAGCTGATGACTCAATTCTTGGTCTTCAGTGAGCAGAGAGCCGGTGACTGTCAGTCCCCAGCTTTCTTCTCTGCCCCGCTAGCTCTCACTGGAGTGCTGGGCTGTGTGTTGGCTGAGAGCAGCAGGCTTCTAGTGGCTCACTGAGAGGCTGAGCCAGCTGCCAGTCAGGCATCTAGGTGGATCCCAAAATTATTGGTGGGATCCCTGCAGAGCCTGGACCATCTCTGTGATGTCAGCCCACAGTGAGCTTTAGCCCACTATCAGCTGAATCTGAGACACAGAAGTGCAGAACTGAGTGCACTCCTGTGAACCCCAGGAGAAGTATGGCCATGAAAGCTTTGGCCATACTTCTCCTTTAAAAAATAAAGAAACTAAAACCCTCGTAGCCAGAGTTGAATTCAAATACAACTGCACAGTTCATTTATTTAAAGAGATACTATCACCTTGCCCATGGATGGTAAAAAGTGGCAATGCTGCAAGGGACACCTCTCTCCTAACATACTGTACCTGTACTCACCTTAAAAGCTTTGCTGTTTTTCCTTCTTCGCAGCCAGCAACAATACCCGGCACCCAGAAGAGGTGCATATTAACTCCTCCTCTCCTCCCCCTGCACTGTCACATGTCTTGAGGAGTGATGTCACTGTTCCTCCTAAATGCCAATACAAGTCATTTCAGTGCCAGCTGCGTAGTAGGAAGACCTGGCAAGGGAGCTTTGGTAAAGTGAGTATAGAGGGGCAGGGAGGAGGGCCCTTTGCAGAAACTGTGCATGAGCAAAGTTTCAGTGTATCTTTCAACAGTGCTACAGATGATTGGTGAATCTATCAAAAAAATTCATAGAATGTGCGGTATATTGCAAAAGTACCATGTGCCACTCCTAATACCATTCAGTTCTTTTCAGGTTTGCAGCAATGAAGCCACATGCATATGCTCTTCTACCTGGGCAGGAACAGATTGCAGCATTTATGACCCAAAAAAAGAGATTAACAACAAAAAGGAGGAAGTACCAAAGGGTTTGTGCCATTTTCTTATGTTGTTTATTAGCTACTACATTATGTCGTATAATATAGGGAAGCAGGAAATATGCCAGAACTATGTCACGTGCATTTATGTAAAAAGGTTTTAGAGATGTTGTAAAAAACGGTATTACTGGGATAATTTCTTTAGAAAAAACATATGAATGATAGTTAATGACCTCAAAACAAGGACAACAGGTGCTAGAGACTGTTTATAAGTAACACTTGGGTAATTGTACAGTTTTAAATTGTATATTCAGCCAAAACTTTTTTTTTATTTTTACTTTGAGTAGAATGGATTAGAACCCTTGTTTTTTCACTGTTATCTGGGGCTTCATTACAGAGATTTTCCTTCAATTACTGTTACAGCGACAATGTGACAATTAAAGTGTTTTTATTATTTTATTTTAGTGGCGTAGGGGGAGACAGTTTTCCATTACTTTTTGTGTCCCTGTTGCAGATTTTCCCTCTCTGGTAAAATAATTGTAACTGGATGAAAAGTAATGGAAAAGGTCTCTCAAATGGATAGCAGTTCAAATCCTACAGGGGTTCTATCCTCTCCTTCCCCCATTCAAAACCAAAAAAAAAGTTTGGGTTGTACATACATTTTGGGCATTGATTTCATAACATTTTAGGTATTGAGTCTATAAAATGCCCTGTCTGAATGTGATTATGGTTTACAAGATCGCTAGATTCTTCTCGTCTGTGTGAAATGAATGCAGAATGTGAAAATGAACATACTAATATGGTAAACTAAAACACATGACTCAGCAGGAAAGTAAAATGTTTAATGGGCCATTTTGATGGAGAACACATACTTATATTGGAGCTCCAGGCTCCCCTCAACAAATTAAAAGTCAGTAGCTACAAATAGTGTAGTTGCTGACTTTTAATATAAGGATACTTACCTGTCCAGGGATCCAGAGATGTCCTCACCTGAGCCAATTCTTCAATCAGCTTTGGGTGCAGGTACCAGCATCTGGCCTTGCGGTTTCCTACTGTGCATGCGCAAAATATGCTGCCACTTTGTAAATGGCCCACAGTCTTCTGGGACCTGTGAAGTGTTCCAGAGGCTGCAGGAAAAGGAAGGGGGGCTGAACTGCCAGTTCAGGTCGCTGCGGCAATCTGACCCAGAAGTGGGAGTGGGTACCTGTCAAAACAGATACCCAATCCCCCCTCCCCCCAAAAAAGTGTCATATGTGGCAGTGCATGGGGAAGGATACAAACAAGTGGAACTTTCCCTTTTGGGTGAAGTTCCGCTTTAAAGTGGTTCTAAAGTCTCTCTTTTTTTGCCTTTATGCATTCCTGCATTAAGGGAAATGTCCTCCCCTCACTTCCTAAACACTTCCCTGGCTCCTGTCACCACTCCAGCATTGTTCCATCTGCAGCACCGTTCCTCCACTTCCTGTCAGGGAGCGGGAGGTGTGGTCGATCTGTGATGTGTTTGTCTATGGATTCACACAGCTCGGCTCAGGAGCAGACCTGCATGGGTGCCTACACAGCACATGGCTTGCTATGGGGTCACTCACAGGAAGGAGTAGAGAGCCACGGTGGAGATTCTTCAGAGAAGAGATAAGGGACCACTCTGTGCACAGAACAGATAAGTATAACACTTATTTTATTTAATTTAATATTAAAAAAAAGCCTTACGAATCACTTAAAGTACAATGGGCACAATTCACTAAGCGGTATCTTACTGCGTCCGAGTATGCGGTAGGATATCGCACAGCATTTAAAAAAAAAAACGTATTTTGGCAGGGCTGGCTGTCAAAATACGTTAGCCGCAGTGGGAGATTTGTCCATCCACGCTGTAAAGGGACACACTGTCTGAAAAAAGTCTATATGCATCTGAATAGTGTTCTTTTTTCCTTGTCAATTGCCTTTTCACAGTGTGGTACATTGTAATACTGTCCAAATAATTCTGTAGGAATTGTTTGTACCACCTCTCAAATCTTAGTTTACTTTCATTGTTGCAGAAAAGCTGTAGATTAACATTTTACTTGTTCCATAAAAAGGGCCTCTGCATTACTAAAATTTGCACTATTTTCCAGTTTTTGGTAACTTAAACTCTTTTTATCTTATAGTTATCTTTATGCCATTTCAGGTTATTCAGTGTTTGAATGTAAAAGTATACTCCACCTTTGTGACCTTGTTTTTTGGGTACAACATGAAACAAGGCCACATTATTATTATATAGGATTTATATAGTGCCAATAGTTTGCTCAGCGCTTTACAATATAATGGGAGACAATACAGCAACAATTCAATACAAGAGGGATAGGAAGGCCCTGCTCCTTGAAGCCACATTTACCACCCCCCTCGTATATTCCCCCCTACTTACCTAAATCATAGGGAGCCTCTCCCTGAAGTGTCCTGTTTTCTTTTGAATTTAGCCTGGCTGTGTGTGGATCCACCTACACAGTTACATCATCAATTCACAGGAATCTAGGAATGAAAAGACTACAAGTGACATCTGCCACTGTAGTAGAAGGACTTGTAGATCTCAGCACAGCACAAGTGCAGTGATGTCACCACACTTGTAGCCCAGTGTTTACTTTCTCCAGCCCCCTAGCAGAAGGTCCATAGCTCCATATGGCCCTGGGGCTAGGGGAGGAGTTTGTAGGAACCTGTGCATTGCACCCATGATGCACTGATCACGGCTACAATGCTCCACAGGATTCAATGCCAAAATGTAATACATGCAAATCTTTTATTTTATTAAGAAGGGTGCATGTCTTACATTTTTGCAAAACGTGGATTATGCCTTTGAATAAAAACGTGAAAAGTGGCATTTTCAAACATTTGACAAGTAGTGAAATACAAGGGACGTATGTGATTTAAAAGAAGGTTAAAGTAGAAAAAAAAAAGTCATCCATTACAACAAATCTGTTTTGATCTTTTGAATCAAATAAGGAGTCTGGTTGCAGTGTAGTAGAGTTCTATTTTTCCCTATTTTAATTATAATTTTCAAAATCGGCCCATTTGCTTCATTGATCATTTAAAAGAGAGGTGCAAAATACTTTCCAACAAAGGAAAAGCAATATTTATTATTTAATGTGTTTCATGTGCAATACCATTTATGGAAGTATTCTATAAAAACTACAACACAAGTTTTTTTGTTATCATTAGTTAAAGGTAATTGAACTTGGTAAGGGAAATTCCATTGCTAACCTCTTTATGGTACGGTTGTTAACAGTTCTGAATGTATCATTTAACTTTTATTATTTAGGTTATGTATAACAAACCCTTGGTCTTATCTGCAAGACAGGTAGCTCAGAATAGATGAGACAGGCCCTGATCAAGCTGCAATAGCATCAAAGGCTTGCTAAAGTGGCATCCCGAGCAATATTAATATAAAGCCTTAAGTGGTATTATAGCCATTGACTAGTTACACTTGATTTGTTTTTTTTTCTACCGGAGTTTAAGCAGACAGTAGAAACTCTGTGATCCAAAGTTAAAATAGGAAAAGTAGGCAAGAAAATAACTAAAATTAGAAAAAAATAGGGAAAATATCATTTAATAAGCGTGGTAAGCAAAATATTAAAAAAACAGATGTGGGAGGGAAGAGATGGTAGAAGTATAAAGGCATATAATGTAATAAAAAATTTTTAGATTAAACATGGTTTGGTGTGTTGATTTCAATCAGGCACGACACAAGTGAGGCAGGAAAACAAAGACAATATTAAAGCAGACTAAAATGCTATACTAAATGAATATGAAGGATTTTTGCCATAATGTGCTAGTATGCACAGCATATTAACACATTAAGGCAGATTTACCTACCAAAGCTTTCCCCTCCGGTGCTTCAATGTAAACAAGTTTGATGTTCGAAGTTGAATAATGTTCCCATTTACATATATCTAAAATAAAAGTAAATATAAAGTGTTCAGGTAAACAGACTAAAAACCCACCTTAAATTCAGCCTTCCTAATCTGCAGATAAAAATATCAAAGGCACTTCCCATTCCAGGAATTTCCAGGATATTGTATTGCACATTGGCACCTGCTTAGTAAATGGCAATTTACTAATACTCTGACAAGTCGAATTTATTATGTACAGGATATTGTAAGAAGATAATACAGTATAAAGATGAATTTCAGGTATTTATACCGACATTTCTTAACAAGCAGTAAACAAGTTTTAAAACAAACCATCTCTGACCTCTCTGGCTAATTGAACTGTCAATTAAATAATTCTTAAAGATCTTCAAAGATCAAAACAAAAACTAAAATTTGGATTTTAATTGGTTTCTAACAGTTCACAGGCATCTGCTGTGTATTTACATACGTAATAAGAAAAGAGCTAAGGCTTTCATGCCTCTTTGAAGTTTGAAAATGAATTTCTCCACAATGCCTGTAGCTTCAGACATTAATAAGGGCTTGTTTTTTTACTGCTTGTTCAGGATGGTTAAATACTTTGGCAGGTTCACTTTAGGATCGTTTAATAACTATATAGCTAGGCTAAAAGGTGTTGTTTTTAATATTTACCTAAGGTCATTGTGTCTGAAGACAAACATATTTATCAACTATATTAAGGGATGTCACACAAATTAATATGACTTACAGTGTTATACTTGATTTAATTTAGAGCCACCAAGAATCATAATTTCTCTGTTGTGGGTATGCACAAGTGCGTGTGATCAGCTGTGGCAAGCAGCCTGCACAAATCAATGACAGGCAGACATATGACATGGTTGTTCACATGTAACTGTACATCCGAGTGTTTAAATGTGATTAGGTACAGATGAGCAGCCCTTGGCTACACATGACAAAAATCATCCCTTATTGTGAGTACCACCTTTGCTAAGTTTAGTCAGAACACCATATTGCAGAGTTTCATAAAGGTGCACATATATATATATAAAAGTATACAGACAATCTGTAATTTGCATTTCTTTACGAGCTGACCTATTATTTCAGCAAACCTAAATCACTCAATTGAATTTAATGGAAGATTCCACGGGACTATTTTTATAGACAGATGATGTATACCTGTTT